GGGACACAGGTGGGAGCCAGAGCCGCCCGGCTCGCTGCGGGGATGAATTTGAGCTCTGAAGGGGTCCTTTGGGCACCGGTTGGAGCAGGGGTGCAGCTCGCAGGCCTTACCACATCCTGAAGGACGGTCTGGGAGAGATGCACCGCTCCTTGGAGAAGATCCTGCTGAGGGCTGGTGGAGCCGGGGACTCCGCGGGGGCCGGGTGGGATGGAGACGCATGCTCAGCCTGGCTCTGTGTGTGATGGGGACCTCCTGCACCCCGCTGCCCATTGCAGCTCAGCCAGTTTCATCCTTGCACCGGTCTTCTGTGTGGGCAGCCTGAGCCCACCACGGCTACTGAAGCCCCTGACTCCTTGCCTGGCCCCTCAGGGCCATGTTGCCACGTTCCCATCACTCTCAGTTGGGATCTGAGGCTCTTCAACCCGAACCACAGCTCTCCTCGCAGCCCCACACCAACCAGACTCTCTCCATTCCCTCCCGCTGCCGGGCTGGCCGCCCCGGGGACTCCCCCAGCACAACCATCACCAGGGACACCCCAATTCCCCGATGTCCCCGCCGGATCCCTCTGTGGTTTCACATCCCTCCACGGCATGGCAGCTAAAGTCCGCTCTCTCCACGGTGGAAGCTGTGGGTAAGGCCAGTGGAGAGCTGACGGGACTTGTGACACCAGGCTACAGGACTGGTGACACTGGGCTACGTCACCCCTTTTGGTTCTGGGAAGGAAGTTTCTGGGGGAGTAGTTTCAACAGAGAGGAGCAGTCAAAGCCTACATGCATCTCCCCCCCTTGCCTACGTGTGGGTCCCCCTTGGAAGAGGCAAAGCCACCCCACGGGACGCAGCGGGGTGTCTCCTGGGGTGGCCGACGGCGGGGACCCCTGTCCAGGAGCTGAGAGGTGGTTGGGTTCATTATGTCTTGAGGCAGGCAGGGTCACCGTGCCCGTCCTCCCTTGGTCCCCAAAACCGAGACGCGCCCCAGAGCCTGCGCCTGGCTGTGCCGACAAGGCAGTGAGAGGCCGCAGAGGGGAGCGAGTCGGTGTTTGGGGCAACGGGGATCTGCACACACACACACACACACAACTCCCCCCGCCCCGGGGAAAACTCCTCCGGCTCTGCTCAGCAGTCCTGCCGGTCCTCCGCCCCCTCGCAGGCACCACCGGGGCTGTTCTCGGGCAGGGATTCAGGTGATGGAGACTTTGGTCTTCCCAGGTCCTGCTTGGCCACCTCCCGCGGGCAGGACCTGGGCTGGGTGCAGCGGGGGCTGGCAGCCCCCCGGGGAGAGGAGGGGGCACAAGGCAGCCCCCCCACACCCCCCGGGCTGGCAGGCAGGCAGGGCAGGGAGGGAAGGTCTCGAGAGCCGAGCTGCTCGGCACGGCCGTGGATGTTTTCATATAAACCCATCAGGAGAAGGACCAGCTAATTAGGACCTAGAGCCGGCATCACGGTCAGGTCCCGGTGCTCCTTCCCACTCGCCCCCTCCCCAGGACGGGACCCCCACGGGTGCTCCCCACACTCCTACCAGCCGGCCAGCCCCGGGGGGGGGCACCTCACACCCTCAAACCAGCACGGGATGAGCTGGGGTTGAGCAAGGAGGAGTGAACTGGGGTAAACGTGACCTACGAGGAGAGTTGTGCCTGCCCTCACACAGCTCTCCAGCTCCAGCTAAGAAGCGTAGTGGAAACTACACTTTTAAATCAGGACCCGAAAGGATCCTACTTCTTCTTTCCTGTAAATGTAGAAAGATCCCTGCAAAGCATGTGAGAGGGCTTATCAGGAAAGAAAGGCAGCAGCAGACGGCATCCCCAGGGTTAGGTTATCTCCCAGAATAGTCACAGCCTCTTGCATCACCACGGCCAGACTGTCTGGGCAGCCAAGGGCTTCCCTCCCCCAGAAGGATGTGGTTCCTCTCTGAAACGCAGCCTGGCACAGACGTCCCTGAGCGCACCCAGCCCTGGGCAGCACCACGCCAGTGCCCTCCCGGCTGCTGGAGGAGAAAACACCAGCTCAGCAGCCCGGAGAGGACCGGAGAGCCATGGCTACGCGGGGATGAAGAGGAACTTTTGGTGGTCCCTGTGGTGCTAAATCTCTCCTTTCCATGCCCCAGGATCTGCTCCTCTGCAAGCTGTCACCGCAGCTGGAGCTGAATGCCCCCAGCCTGGAGGAGGGGGCTTACCGGAGACCCCATTAAAAGAGCGTGTGGGACCCCGTGCCTGCTCCGCGAGCAAATAACCGCCGCGGCCTCCGGAAAGGCTGGGTTTGCAGCTGGGCTTGGAGGAAAAGGCGCAGGCAGGAGGCCCGTGCTGTTGCCTCGACGCTGGTTAGCCACTTCCCGTCCCTCGGTGGCCCCGCGCACGCTGCTCTCGCTTCTAAGAAAACAAGCGAGCAGTTGGCAGGGAGCAGGGCGCATGGCTGGAAGTCGTGCCAGCCTTGCAGGTGGCCCTCCAGCCCGGCTTGGGATGGGTTTCTTTGCTGACTGGGGGACTGCAGCCTGTTATCCCTGCCCTCTGCTGCCTGCGCCCCGACCAGCCTGGACCAGCCGCTCCCAGCTGATGCTGGGGATTCCAGCATCACCCGGGCAGGGGCTGACTGCCCCCGGCTCCTCCAGCACCCTCATCTCCCGGTGCCTCCGGAGGGTGGCTTCCCACCCTGGCAGGCCCAAAGCACCTTCAAGACTCTTTGCAGAGCCCCACACAAAGGCCAGCCCAGCCCTGCCGCTCCCAGGGCTCCCCGGCCTTGGTCCAGCCTCCCCCCAGGCTGCTGCAGCAAGAGGGGCCCAGGGGAGGAACTGACGTGTGGCAGGACGGGCTCGCTCGCGCTGATTATTTTTGCAGCACCTCCGCGGCACACGCACGCAGGGCCCATGCAGCTCTCCCCACCGACCGCCTCGCTCAGCCTCAGCCCTCCCTGCTCTTGGATTTTCGGCCGCCCCGTGAGCGTGGCTGGAGGCAGTGGTCCCCCCATGCTGCACAACAGCCCTTGGACAACTGTCCCCGCTGTGGGATGCTGCAGCCGCCATCTCCGTGCCACTCTGCCACCCAGGCGCGTCCCCAACACCCGCCCAGGGTCCCCAGGCAAAAATATATCCCCACCCCATCCCAGCAGAGGACCTGCCAGAGCCCCTGTGCCCAAAGGGGTCTGCTTGCAGCCATGTGCACGACTCTGTCCCGGGGCGGGGGGGTGTCAGGCTGAGCGTCACCGTTGCTGCCGTTGTCGGTGCAGGCCGGGCAGGCCGGTGCTGGCATTAGGTCCCACGTCACCCCGTCGCCCACGCGTAGCACCGGCACCGTGGGGGGCCCAGCACCAACCCAAGGAGGCAGCTGTAGCGCTGGGTGCAGGAGGTACCACGAGCCCTGGAGAGGATCCTGAGCAGCACGGGACACCCACATAGCCTGCCCCATTCGAGGGGCTGGAGGAAACCCCGGGGTGAAACCCACACCCCTCTCCAGGCAACCCCCACACAAACCACCCCTCCTGGAGCGTCACCCGGTCTGTTATTTTGCTGCAGGGGTGTATCAGCCGCAGCAGACTTGGGGCTCGAAAGTATTTTTATCTATGGCTGTTTAGCAATGTTTGCAGACGCCGCGCTGGCGTGAGCCGGCAAATAACAGCCAGGGGAGGTGACGGCGCGGGGTTCCCCAGCCCAGCACTCAGAATTGCCACGACCCAGGCAGAGACACCACGGTTGGGTGGGCTGGGGGGGGGTGTCTGTTCAAAATCCCCTTCCCACGCAGGGAATGGGGCTGGAGCTTGTGATGCCCAGAGGCAGAAAGGGACCGTGGGTGGAATAAATACCGGAGTCAGAGCTAGATTGCAGGGGCGAAACGCCTGTGTGCAATGACTCAGAGGGGAAAAAATTGTCCCGAGCGACATCGCTGCTGTCACCAGTGTGTGTGGCGGGGACAGTCCCCGCAGCTCCTGCTGCCCTGGCCCCACTGGGGGGGGTGAGGGGGGTGCTCCGGCCCCGTGGTGCAGCCGAGCATCACGGGCAGACCTCCGAGCATCACAACTGCCCCCGGTCCCTCTGCCCTGCTTTCACCCCCGTTTTCTGGCAGCCCCTGGCCGGGGTCGGGGGCTCTGTGTGGGCAGCAGCTCAGCGGCCACGTCACGCAGCGTGGGGAGAGTGACGGCACAAAGCGTGCCCAGGTGTGAGCTGCCCGGTGCAGGGCTCTGCGGGGGCCCCACTCCTGCCCTCGCTCCCCAGCGCTTCAGTTTGGGGGATTAACGTGCATTCAGCCAACGTCTGCGACGGCGCCGAGCCCTGGGCTGGCAGATTAAATGAGCAATATCCTCCTGATCAGCACCCCAGGAACCAAGGGGAGCGGGAAGACGCGAAAAACCATCTTGTTTCCTGCTCAGAGGGTTGCAACAGAGCAGCACGTGGTCCTGCTCCACGAGGACGTCACGGAGAAGGAAAAGCAGCACCTTCTGCCCACCCCACCGAAACCCTCACCCGGCAGGGACACGCAGGGACACAGCAAGGGAGGGGCTGTTCCCCCCCCCCCCCCCAACACTGCAAACCCCCATCCCCTGGGGACACGCTCCCCGGGTTTGGCAGTAACCAGAGGAAGCGTCACCAGGGCACGTCGGTTGGGAAGGGGGGACCCCCGGAGCAGCGTCACCCACCGACACCCCCCCAGCCTTTCCGAGGACATCAGGAACAAACCCAGAGCTGCAAACCCGGCTCTGCAGCAAGGAGCCTCCTTCCACCTCTTGTTTCTCCAGGCTGAGCAAGAAATACACCCTGCAATGTATCTTTAGGGTGGAATCACAGGATGGTTTGGGTGGGAAGGGACCTTAAATCCCCCCCAGTGGCACCCCCTGCCCCAGGCAGGGCCCCCTTCCCCCAGCCCAGGGGGCTCCCAGCCCCGTCCAACCTGGCCTTGAACCCTTCCAGGGAGGGGGCAGCCACATCTAGGCACAGCCCAGACCCGCTCCCACCCCTGTGGGCAGCTACGGAGAAGAGCCTGTGGGAAAAAGGCTGGACAGACACACAGACAAGCACAGAGACTTAAAATCCCGTTCATAAAAATTACATCCCCTCTGTACAGTGTGTAACAGCCTTTTTACAGTATTTACAGCAGCGGTTGGGGCAGGGGCACGCGGGGTGTGGGAAGGGGCTTTCTCGGGGGCCGGGTGTGCAAAGCGCAGGGCCAGCAGCGGTTGTCACTGCCTGCCACAGATCCCCGGGGGGGGGGACACACACCCCAGGGTCTCACTGATGTACTGCAAGCTGATCTTCCCTAAAATCACCCAGGGCTCCTCTTCTGGCTCCAGCAGTGGCATAGACACCCCCCCACCCCAAACCCTCGCAGGCACAAGAGCTGCCAGCCCCCCCCCCCCCCCGGCCCCAGGAGGGCAAAGCCTGGTGCCCCCCCCACCACGAGAGCTCGTCCCACCTCCCCCGAGTCCTGCCCTGCGTGTGGGGAGCAGAGTAGGGCCCAGCTGCCCTGTCCCAGTGCAGGATCGGTCCCCACTCACTGCCCGTGCCCGGACAGACAGCCGTCACCCCCGCGAGCGGTGGGGGACAGGGGCAGGGGAGCAGAGGGTGCACGGGGGGGGGTGGGGGGGGGAAGGGGCACGGGGCTCATCTGCTGCGGGGGGTCCTCCTCTCCAAACTCGCCACCAAAACCGCCTCTCACATATCTGCAGGACAATCAAGGAGGGGGGGAAAATATTAAAAAAAAAAAAAAAAAATTGGTGAGACAACTGTTGGGGGGGAGGGCTGAGTGGTGTGTTGTCCCCCCCCCTCCAGGCATCACCGGCAGCAGGGTGAGAGCAGAACTGCTGGAGGGGGGGGGCTCTAGTCCCCCTCCTGCCTCACTGCCCCCCCAGTCCAGCTCGGGGCTGGCAGACGCAGCACTTCCCACCAGCCGCCTTATTTTGGACGCTCATTTTGGGAAGGGAACAGATACCGAGAACTGTGGCTTAAGCAGCCTGCCCAGGGGGGGAAATTTTTTTTTTTTTTTTTTTTTAAATCAAGTTCTCTCTGCCTGCAGCCTGTCACCCAGTGACCCCTTTGGAAAGGAACTGTGGCCTCTGCCTCAGTTTCCCCAGCAGGGAAGCTACTGGGGGTCAGCCAACCTCTCAGGACTGCAGAGCTGCCTGGCTAAAGCTGCCAGAGATGCCCAGCACCGCCTTCCCCGGGGGTACCTGCAGCCAAACCCTTTACCAGGAGAAAAACATCTGCAGGAGGAGACCACGGCCCGTTTGTGCTCCCCAAGGGCTGGGATTCCCCTCCCTGCCACCGCGCAGACCCTCCGCAGGGGCAGAAATCTCACTCCCAGACCTGCCCACGGCTTCGCTCAGTGCCAGCGCGCCCCAGGGACGGGTGGTAGGTGGTACTTATCGAGTCTGAACCCCCACTTTCCTCCCTCCAGATGGGATATTTCCACCGGGCTGATTTTTTTTTTTTTTTTTTTTTTCTTCCAGGCTGAGGTATGCCACAAGGAAAAAAATTCTCTTTTCCTCCTGCTCACCTTCCCCCCACCACAGCAAAGAAAAGCCTTTGAGCAGCAGTCAGAGGGGTCTGTAGGCAGAGAGCCCCAAACATCTCCACATATTCCTGAAAATACCAGTAACCCTGCAGGCTGCCGCTCTTTGGAGACCTTTTTTGCATGTCTTGGTTGTCACGGCCAACCTGGCCTCCACATCCCCCAAACCCCCTCCCCACCAGGACAGTGCTGCCCCCTCCACTTCACCAGCTGGGGGAAACTGAGGCACCGGCGAGGGAAGATGCTTGAAAAGGGATGGTGGGGGGTGACGACGAGATCCAGCTGAGGTGTCTCCCCCCATAAGAGACAGAAGATTCCCCCCCTGCAGCCCAAACCAGGCTCTAAGCCTCCTGAGCCCCAGGCAGGAGGGGTGCTGGGCCAGGCTCTGCCAAGCCGGAGGCAGCGGAGAAGCCGCAGCCCGGGCGTGCTGCCGCGCTGGCTCGGGAAGCGCAGGGACCCAAGCTGCCTACGTACCCTCCAACGCTTTATCCAGGTCTGCAATGAACTCCTCCAGCTCCTGCGTGTCGCCGAGCTTAGCTAGCGGAGAAAAACACACCGTCAGGTTTCTCCCATTCCCCCCCCCACCTCCCGCCGGCTCTAATTTGGGACAAGAAAGGTCCCTGCCCCTTGCTTCTAACCACAATTGCTCCGGCTGCTTCTGCGCCAGCCAGCGTTGCTGAGCCAAGCCAAGCATGCAGAAGGAAGCCCTGGACAGATCCTTCAGCCTCACCTTTGGAGGGGTAAGCGTCGGCAGGGGTGTTGAGGTCCTCCTCGCTGGAGTTGAGACTGCTGCCTGGGGACGTGCTGGTACCTGCGGGTGCAAAGCATCAGTCGCTGTCCGTGGCCACAGGCACCTCGTAGGGACCGATCCTGTGCGTGGCAGAGGGTCCCTGGCCCACCCTCACTCTTGGGCAGCCCGTCAGCTCTTCCCCTGCTGCAAGGGATGCTTGGAAAAAAGGGAACTGAGCTTCTCTGCTGGGGAAAACAGCACCAGAGGCTGCCTGGGCACGGCCACAGGGACTCCTCGGGGTTACTAGAGCAAACTGGTTCCCTGGGAGCCCCCAGTTATCTCAAGCCCCGCGCAGTCCTGCAGCAGCCAACCCAGCAGAAGGAGCCCCAGCAGATGCTGGCAGGCCCTGGGCCAGGGTCCCCTGCGTCACCGTCACCCCCTGCGACTCACCCAGCCCGCGAGAGGCGAGTCAGGCGGGATCAGCAGGAAGCTCCGTGGTTTGCCACGGAGGAATCCCACAGCTCCCACAGCAACTCTGTCCCAACAGACACCATCCTCCCCCAGCCCCAGACTCACTCTCCAGCTCCTCGATGCCGCTGTCGTACACGCTGTGTCCCGTTTTCCTCTTCAGCTCCTCCAAGTGCTGCTCGTATTGACACGCGGGGCCCCTGTCAAAGTCCTCCAGCACCTCATCAAACTCCCGCAGCAGGTCACTGAGCTCATCAGCCATCGCTGGGGGGCAAGAAGTCACCGGAGAGGGGAGGTTTGGGGCTGGCAGCCCCAGCAAAAGCCTCCCGGGAGCCGTAGTGGGCTGGGGAGCGTGGCCAGGCTGCCAGCTCTCGCCCCATGCAGTAAGTTCAGGGCTGACACTGCCCCTCACCCTCCCCACAGCCCCCTCCCGAGCTCTGAGCGCATCCTTGGACAGCTCGGCCGTCCTTCCAGCTCATCCCACAGCTGAGCAGCAGCCCAGCCCAGTAAGAGCTGGTTCTAAGCAGGCAAAAATATCTTCATCCTGGACCCAGCTCCTGCCTTCAGGGGAGTTCACAGCGGGGTGAACCGGGCCGTACTGGGCCTGGGTGACCGGCAGCAGCGGAGCAGGGGGATGTGCCGCCGGCTCCCTCGGGTCCGCGCCCGGGGAGGGAGGGCTGGAGCGGGCACTGAGGACACCGGCACGGCCGGGGGGAGGACTGGGCGAGCCCCCGCCCCGCCGGGACGGGAGGGGCTCCGGGGGAGGGGGGGGGACACACACACACACACACGCCCCGGCCCCTCCGTCCCGCACGCTGTAAACCGCGTCCTGCTCCCCGGGTCTTCCCGACGGGAGGGTCAGCAAGGCGGGGGGGGGGGCGGGTACCGGTGCTGGGCCCCTTCGGGAGCGTGGGGGGGGGGGGGGGGGTCCGGGGAGGCTCGGCACTCACCGGCGGGCAGGCGGGCTCCGGGACGGGCGGCGACAGCAGCGACAGCGACAGCGGGTCCCGCCGGGCGCGACAGTTTTAGCCGCGGGGGCGTGGCGGGGGGGGGAGGGCGTGGCCTCAGCGTCCCGCCCTTCCCCGCCCCGCCGGACACGGGTGACCGTGGGTCACCCCCCAGCCCGTCCCCGGGCGAGGGTCCCCCCTGCAGAGCCAGGGTGGGGGTGCCGGGGGTGTCCCCACGCTCTGATGGCCCCGCGGTGACGCCCCGGGGACCTTCCTAGAACGGCGGAATAACCGCGGCGTGGAAGGGACCTCGAGGATCCGCTGGTCCGACCTTGCCTGGAAAAAGCCCGGCCGAGGCAAAACTGGCCCAGCCCCTCGCCCAGCTGAGCCTTAATCCCGTCCCGTGGTGGGGAACCCACCGCCTCCCACGGGAGATTATTCCATGGCTGATTGTTCGCATTGGGAAAAATTCTCTTCTTGTGTCCAGTGGTGATGTCCCCAGGAGTCACTTCTGCCCGTCCCCCCTTGGCTTTTCTGCATGGCCCCTTGGACAAAGGGAGTCTCCTCTTCTCTGTACCCACCCTTTAAATACCAGCACCCAGGGTCAAGGTCTCCCCTCAACCTCCTCTTCTCCAGGCTGAACAAGGTTCTCTCAGCCTTTCCCAGTCCCCCGATCACCTTTGTGGCCCTTCTCCAGGCCCCCTCCAGCCTGGCCACGGGTTTTTTGCATAGCAGGGATCAAAACCAAACACGGTGTTCCAGGGGTGGCCTGGCAAGCGCCGAGCGGGGTGGGACAATGACTGCCGGGTGGCCAAAGCCTTGCCATGCAACAGCAGCCACGGGGGGGGGTCACCCACGGCAGAAAGCTGCCGGTGGCATCCCCCCAGCCCATGCCTCGGCGCTTCTCCCTTCAGTTCCAGGTCCAGGCCGGCTTCTCCAGAGGCTGGCGATGTTCTAGAGACCTTTAGGTTTCCTCCCAGGTGCCCTGTCTCCCTCCCTGCATCACTGTCCATCCACCTGAACTTAAAAGTCTCGCAGGAGGTGTTTTCCACTTGCATTCGCTTTCCTTCAACCAAGCTTTGCCTCCTTTCCCCAGCGCTCCCCCCTCCTCATGCTTTCCGCGGCCTGAAGTCACCCCTCAGCACGTGAGAAAGGGCTTTGCTGTAGATTTTTCTTTTTCTCCCGTGTTTTACCCTCTCATATGTCCCCTTGCCCAAGGCAGGCACAGCCCCACAATAGCGCTTTGCAGTCTACAATCATTTCTGCCTTCACGGCTTCTGCTGAGGTCTGTCCTCTTCGCGACAGAGCTCCTGAGACAAGAGGCCCTCACCAAGTTACTCCTCCTCTGTACCTCTTCTTCCCCGCCACCAGCGAGAAGCCATCAGCTCTTCTGGTGGCATTAACCCAGGAACTGCCCCGGGGGCGAGGAGGAGGAGGGCAATGGCAGCAGATGCTCCCTCACTCTCATCTACGGGTTTGGAAAAGGTGGGTTCAGCCTGTGCTTGCTTTTTATAGAGGCTACATGCTCCTGACTGCCTAAATATCTTCAGACCACCTCAGTATTTTTTATTTTTTTTCTAGTAGAGGGGTGGGCGTATTGAAAACAGCTGTGCTGGAAGTCTTTGGGATTTTAAGGACCAATATCTAAATGAGGGGGCTGAAAGCTCGTTTGCCATCTCCAGGCTGAGAGTGGCGAGTGGTTTGTCTCAGTTTCAGTCCACGCTGCCTCGTTGGGTTCAGGAGCTCGTCAGGAGCTCTGCTGGCTTTTTCCAGCCCTGGATCAGCCCGAGCCGGTGAGCAGGTCCCGGAGGGGGGGAACTACAGCCCCTGCAGAATGCACGGACACTCGTGTGCTTTCTGGCTGTGCTGGCTTGGTGTTTTCTTTAGCTCTGACTCCTTCATGTGACCACGGGTGAATGCTGACACCTTGGCGGCTCCGGGAGCGAGTGACACGGGCGAGCTCCTCTCCTTCAGCTTTACTAGGGAGAGTTCAAGTCGAGTGATCCTGTCCGGGCAACGTTCTACAGAATGCTGCCCGGCCGATCGCTGCGGCCAGCACCGCCGCTCAGCCCGGCGCTGAGCAATTCCGGGGGTCCTCAGCCCTTAACCGCCGTCTCGCCGCTTGTGCCAAGGACAACACTGGGTCGTCAGCCGGAGACCTTCGCCTGGATCGCGGGCCGTGCTGGGGACTCCCCCATCTTTCCTGCGGAGCAGAGGAAGGCATTCGCCACCCCTCGCCGTTAGCTGCTGGCTCGTGGATGGGGACAGTATTCCCCCCTGGTGCTGCGATTCCACGGAAGAGAATCACAGAATCATTTAGGTGGGAAAAGACCTTTAGGATTGTCAAGCCCAGTCGTACACCTAACACCGCCAAGTCCACCAATAAGCCATGTCCCTAAGTGCCACCTCTACGCCTTTTAAATCCCTCCACGGTGGTGACCCCACCGCTTCCCTGGGCAGCCTGTCCCAGTGCTTGGCAACCCTTTCAGTGAAGAAATGTTTCCTAATATCCAATTTTGACAAAACCTGGCTGCCCACGTGGGTTCCTGCAGGTGCGGGAGGCCAGGCACTGCAGGGGAGAAGAGGCCAGTTACTGACGGAAAGTATCTTTCCTGTTCATCTCTGATTTTTTCATGTTCTGGGTAACCATGCCCAGTGACCAAAGCCGGCAGCGTCCCTCGCTTTTCCCAGCGCGGGGTGGTGCAGCTCGTGATTTCTGCCGTGCAGAACCTGTATTTAGCAGACGTTGCACATCGGGAAGCGGCGTCAGAGCAGGCTCGCCCGCCGCAGAGGGAGCGACCCAGCTCTGCTTTGCCATGCCCTGGGATTTTCCCCGGTGACTGGCACAGCTGGGCGAAAGCCGGGAGCCCCGGCAGCTCCTCTCGCATGGAGTGGCGAGTGATGCTCAGCCAGCCTCGGGCTGCTCCTGCTCCACGTCTCTTGCTCTCCCTCCGAAGGGGAGACACAGTCCCGGTCATCTCGTCGTGCCCTTTGCCAGCAAAACGCTGCTCACGCTGCTCCTTCCCCCGACGGCTCCTTCCAGCTGCAGAGAACCCTCACGGACTTCTGAGGTCAAACAAAATCACGCATTGATCCCGTGGCACCCAGCACTGCTTCAAGAGACCGGGGCAATATTATCTGCCAGGTGAGCGTGACCCCTTTCCTCGCTGGATTTAATCCCTCAGGCAGTTTCTCTGGTCTCAGAAATACAAATAAGGCAATGTTTTTGCTTAAAATGGAAGAACTTATCTGAGGTCACTTATGTTCTTCCAGTTTACCATGGGAACTTGAGCTGATGAAGTGTTAGATGATGGCATTATGATGCCATTCAATATGTGTGTGTATCCTGATTCAGCAGCGTCAGGGCGACACATGGGTTAAAAAAGAAAAAAAAAAAAAAAAAAAAGAAGAACCCTGCTTTCTTTGCCGTTGATTATAAAATCACTCCCTCGTGAATGTGAGTAACTGATCCTACTGCTGCAAGCTACTCCCTGTTGCACCCTTCCTAAGACCTCTAAGCTTGACTCCAGCTGTAAAAACCCCTCCAGGGCTGAGCGGCCCCAGATGGTTTTGGTGATGTTGGTGCTAACAACCAGCCAGCACCCACCCCCAACAGGAACCCACCCCCCCGCCCCGTGCCGGCACCGGGGGCTTGAAACATCAAGACAGAAACTTTCAGATTGTTTGAAAAGGTGAAATCGCAGAGGCTTGCAGGTTCAGCCTGGGGAGGAGGGGGGAAGAGCCCGGCGATAACTAAATGTGAAGCGTAACAAGTCTCAGAACGGGTCCAGAGCGATGCTAACGCTCCACGAGCGACGGTGCTTTGCGAAGGATTTGTGAAGCGGGGTTTATTTTGTGAGGCTGAAATAAAACAAGCTATAAATAAAGACTTGGGCGTGCCAGGCAGCGACAGCCGGCGTGCTTTTGAGGGAGAGAAAAGCCTGCGTTCTGCTGAGAGACGGCAATTCCCAGGCAGAAAGCGGCGCGGGCCGGTCCTGGGCTGCCCTCAGGCGGAGTTCTGAGCAACATCCCCATCGGCAGTGCTGAGCAGTTTTCAAGTCTTGCAAAGTGGTGGTAGAAAGACCCTACAGTGGTAGTTTTTTTTTTTTTACATTTTCTGTAGTAAAAGGAGAACGACAGCGTGCTTCCCAGCGAGCCTCCAGTGCCCTCTTCTGCCCGCTGTTACGGTGTCGGGAAAGTAAACTTCAAAAGGATTTTTCTTGCAAAGCGAAGCAAAGAGCTGCCTCATATTTCAGCATCCCCGTCCTGTCCAGGTTATGAAATAAGCTGGTGGTGATCCCAGGTCCTGTGCAATGGTGCTTCTGGACCCAGCTCTGCCGTGCCTTGCACTTCTTCCCACCAGTGGGAGCGGTGCAAAATAGAGCGTAAAACTCGATGGCAGCCAGCCCGCCCGTCGGGAAGCCTTCACAGGGGTGACTTGATGCTCTTGTAGATGCCTGGTGTAATGCCCAGTGGTGAGCACAAATCTTTCAGTCACCTTCTAAATCCTTGTGTGGCTTCCAGGGAGGCAACATCCAAAGACAGCTCGACACTACCGACTTGTGTAGACCTGTTGGCCAAGCAGCCACATCTCCCACAGCCTCAAATGTGGCGTAGCTCTGCAGCACGTATTTCCCAAGTGCCACGAACACGTTAGAGTCCATTTGTTATCCGCTATAATTTCTCCACACTTAGTTCTTGGAGAGAGGGATATGGCAAAAGCAGTGGAAGAACAAATTAAAGCTCAGAGGAATCAAAGGAGAGAAGCCAAAGTGATGTTGGTGGCATCAGTCTACGCCACAGCCGCTCTCTGAGCGACACACTGAGGTGAGGACATGAGGAAATGTTCGCTCTGCTTGGGTTTTTCTTTTTTGATACTGAAAAAAATTGGTCAAAAACGTGCAATAAAGGCTGTGTGGACATCTCACCGTTGATTTCAGTGCCAGATCCATTGCTCTTGGTCGTATCAAGAAGTCAAAGCTACACCTAGAAGCAGTGGCATCAGGCTGAGCTCTGGCCATGACGAGGCATGAAGCAATTCGCTGGGTTTGTGCTTAAAATGTCGGCCTTGGTGCTTCTGGCAGCAAAGAGCTCGTGGCATTCACCCGATGAACTGAAGGTGGGGGACGTGGAAGGTTTGTGCCACCTCCACCCGTGGCCCGTGGCTGTCAGCCTCGCCACCCCCGCAGACAGGCTGCGGGCTCACTGCTGTCCCCAGCACATCACGAGTCTCTAGCACTCGTAACAGGCACACAACTGTGACTTTCCCTTTCTTCTTCCATCAGAACGTGTCCCTCCACGGTCCCCAAGGGATCCCACGTACAACACCCTTGCAGGGAGGTCTCCCCAGGGTGGCCCGTCACCCACTGCACCTTGTGAGCCTTAACCGCCCATCCCCATACACCCAGGGCTGACACCTCACATTGCTCCATGACGACAAAAAAGCTGAGTTGCAGTCCAGCTTTCAGGCTGGCAAAAGGCTTTGAGTGCCCTTTTGCCCGACTTGACGACAGGAAGATCGCCTTCTTTTTCTTGGTTTCAAAATTCTCGGCGAACGTCTGTGGCAACTCCCCCCAGGCTGGGGCTCTGCCCCTTCCCAGTGCTCCCCCTCAGCGGGGACACAGAGCGATCCACCATCAAGTCACAGCCACCAGTTACTGGAACAGCCTTTCCTGGCGAGTGTGCTACTGATAACGGGCTCAAGCTGCTCACGACTAACAGGAGATAACTAGTCGCTCACCACACGGGTCCAACCGGCTGTTGATGGAGGAGCAGAGTCACGCTGACATGCCAGAGGCTTCCAGGAAGGAATTTGGAAGGTCCCCAGAGGGTCTGCTCTGGCGGCCGGGGCAATCCTGCGGTCTGTCTGCACGGAGCAGCCCCTGCCTCCTTGGATGTGGTGATGGTTACACAGCTGATGCTCGGGTGTGCTGGTCACCCCAGAAACCTCCAGCAGACCCACGGCAGCCTGAGTTTATCCGCTCCTGCAGACTCAACAGGCTAACAGAGCCTATCAGGTCTTGGGAAGCTCTCACCGGCTATCTCTCAGCACACACTTCCCTCTTCAGCCTGCTCTCCTCCGGGAACTACTTCTCTACTCATCCCACCAGAACCCATCCACAGGGCAGGGACCTTGACAAACGAAGAGCTCAGCCCCTGGCAGGGCAGCTGAGAAGGTGCAGCACCAGGAGACACGCACCCTCCCCTGGCCAGGCGCAGCTGAGGCTGTGGAGGAACGCCTCCCTCCCCCCGGGCCAGGGGCACAAAACCACTCGTGCTTTCGCTGGTGGCCCCTACCAACGCCACGAGGCTGCCAGGAGGCGCCCCGTCCGAGCCGCGGGCTCCCTGCGCGCACGTGGAGCAAGGCGCGAGCGTCGCCGGAGCCCACGGCTGCGCCGAGGTGCCCAGCGAACCGCAAACTCTCTCAGCCCCCGGTGCGCCTCTCTGCCGGGCGGGCTCACCCTAAACCTAACCTCAAAGATTATCCTCACCCCGGTGTAAACTTCTTGTAACCCTAGACCTAATTAGACCTCGTTTTTCTGTCTCAAACACTGCCCCAGCATCACGGCATGGCCCTGAGGTTTGCCTCTGTCCAGCCAGGACAGCGACATCACTTAACTGTAGCATCAAAAGTGTCCTGAGGTTGGGCAATATCAAAAGTCTTTCCCTGGCTCCCAAAGTTACCTAAACACCAATGGTTATAGATCAGGCAAGCCCTAGCCTTACCCCAACCCTTAAGAAAGCCCTAAACCTAATCTTGAACTTTATTCATAAACCAAAAATTAAACCAGCCCTTAATGGAAACCCACTTGGGTGTTTTTCATGACCACAAAACATTTTCCCATGGTCGGCAACTTCATCCAAGCATGCTGAGGACACCCAACCTACTTCCAACAGAGAAGGCCTAAATACTTACTCTATCTCAGCTCTTATAGTCACCCTAATCTCATTGCCAACCGTACCCCTAGTCCTAACCTAAACCTAACCCTAGCTCTAATCCTACCTCTGTCATAAAACCTAAACACTTGCCGAATATGTACTCCCAAACCTCAACCTACCATCAATCCTAGCAAAATAATTTTACCATGGAAATTAATACGGGGCACTTATTGACCCTAAAAGACTTCCCTAAACAAAACCAACTGAACCGAGGAAGCCGCAAGGCAGAGTGATACGCCCATAACCTCGCATGGAAAATCAGCATTAACCCCCACCTTAACGACCAGACTCCCGTGGGGGCCCGGCCATGGCCAAACGTTTCCCACGGCCGCCAAGTCCCCCCCCAGCAGCGTGGGCACCCTGCGGAGCACCCTGGGGGAGCTGGGCTGCGAGAACCACCCCCCCCCCCCCCAACGCTGGGCTCTGCAGAGGTGTCCCCCTCCACGCCTGATCCCCAGGGCCACCCCCCAGCGCAACCCCAGCCCCGCTCCCACCACCACGTGCTGTCAGAACCTGCCCCCCGGGCCAGGCTCTGCCCCCCATCCCCGCTGGCCCCGGGACTGAGCTGGGTCCCGGCCAGCACCCCCCAGCCCCCAGGCAGGAGCATCCCGCCAGCCCAACGCTTCCCAGGGCTGCCATTCCCCAATTCCACCCCTCAGCCATGGTCAGACTCTGGATGCGAGCGTAGGAAAACCCACTGATGGAACTTCGGCCCTTCCTTCAACATCCCCGTCCCTCCTTGCCCTCCCTCTTTGGCCAAACACTCCAGCCTGGTTTTGTTCTCAAAAGTCCTCTTTTATTTTTCAGCCACGTTTGGAAGGGGAAAGGGTGCCAAGTCCCTCAGCCTCTACTCAACATGCCAGTGTAAACAGAAATGTTTTAAACCACAATAAGAAAAAAAAAGAAAGAAACTACACCCGCACGACCGTGGACAGCAGTTGTGACGAGGATCTCACAGCGATGGGCTGGGAACTTCTACAGAGATAAATGTCAATCAGTTCTCTGCTCAGGTTGAGTTTGGGGGAGTTGCAGTCGTACATGAAACTGGACGATTAAATCCATCATGGTACGGAGATCTCTGCCACACATGACAAACTCCGCTGTCTAAATACAACCCAAAAATGTCAGACGGAAGCAGACCAACTGAGCAACAAAAAGAAGCAACTGCAAAGCCAAACCCTCTGTGCCCCGAGTTATAAACCAGACGTCTTTGCCGCGATTCATGGAGAATAAACACCTCTGGAATTGTCAGTGTGCATGTCTTGGTCTCTCCAGAATAGAAGTCATGGATTTGCTGCTGATTTCAGGCAGCCCGAATGAGAGGAGCTGTGACACCAGATCCATCTGCCCCCAGCATGAAAATATCCTGGTATAGCCCATTCCTGTCTTCTTCGTACCCTGCTTCTCTCCAGCCTCCCCTACCTGCCTGCCCCAGTTCTCTACACCAGCACACCCCTGGGCACCAGTTCTCCTCCCCTCGTGTCCCTTACCAGCCTCCTACCTGCCTGCTCTCTGCTCGGCACCCTTCAACTGCAGTTCCTTGGAAGTGAGGGCTAAACCGTGAACGTGACAATTGACATTCAAGCCAAGAGATTATAAATTACACGACCTCAGAAAACAGGTGTGAGACAAAAAATGTTGCATGCAAAATTCACAGGCACCTCTTTTGCTGTCTCTCTGACTTCCCCTTCCACATGCTGTTTTTTTTTACCCTCCATCATACTGGCCATGGCTCCCTGTGCTGGACCAGCCCACCTGAAGCTGAGTTTTCTCTGTGCTGCCCAGAGCATCCCTCCCCACGCTGCTGCTTCACCCACAGAGAACCCAGCCCACGGGGGGGAGTGGGTAAGGGGCTGCCGGGCCACCTCCAGCAGAGTAAATGGAAAGGAAACAATGGAAAATATTTGCTCATAACATTCATTCTGCCATACCAGCTAGAAATGTACATTTGCACATAACCAGCAGTGACGTCCAGTGCCTGAGCTGTGGGACTAAACCAAACCAGGCGTTTCTCAGCCAAAGATCATGAAAAGACACTGTCATTTGTAAACTACATTAGAAGGTCTACTTACTGAATATTAACTCAAGGAAAATTGAGGTTTATAATCCTCCGAGTATATTGTTCCCTCTTACTACACCAGCCATACATTTTGGGTTTTCTGTCTGTGAAATGATCGGTCTGAAGCCTGGGTTCAGACAAAGAGGCAAGCTGTGATTCGTTCCGACCACGGCACTGATGGTGCTGGGGCCTCACCTCCACGAGAGCCTCCTCCCCCGCACAAGCCCACGGCCCACGGACGCGGAGTGAAGGGGATCCCCGAGCACCAGCCGCACAGAGCTGAGCTGTGCCGTCCGCCCTCGCCGCCCTGCTAATGGTGCCCATCACCTCTGCCTCCGGGCAGGGGGGGCTCAGCGCTCCCTGCCAGCAGGCAGACCCCCGCCAGAGCCTGGAGGACACCAGACGGGCTCTGTTTTGGACCTCTGAGTCCCATCCGCTGAGCACAGCACGAGCTGTGGGGCGCCCACCCGCCGCCCCCCCAGTTTGCTGTCCCAGAGCACGGAGCCGGCGGTCGCTCGGAGGGGAGAGGTGGGCAGGGGTGCCACGAAGCCACCCTGCAAGTCCCCGCCCGCACAAGCGTGCACGAGCACAAAGCTTGCTCGGTCATCAGCAACGAACCCACGTGTGGAAAACCCTCCTGCTGGCAACCTGCAAGCGCCTCTCCGCCTGGCCACACCAGAACCGCCTGGCACGTCTACTGGTAGCAAAGATGCTCCCGCAGATGTTCGCGCTCCTTTCGCTGCTCCGCTCCTCCAGATTGGGCCGGAAGACTGATTTCTGCTGGGGAAAGGTTGCCCGGTTTTGCTGGCAGAAGGCAGCGCAGGGGGCCTGGCCCAGGCGTGCTAGATGCCAGCGTCCAGGTTGAGGAACGAGACGCGGCTGTACAACTCTGAGGAGACCAAGCTGCTCGCCGGGGTGTGGGTCCGACCAGGCAGCGGGGATGGAGCATGCTCTTCTGTTGAATCCTCACTCTCTCTGCTCCTAAGAAAGTAAAAAAAAAAAAAAAAAAAAGAGAGCTGCTATTTGCAAGCTGTTTCTCTTGCCAGCTCTACAGCCAAACGGTCCCTGAAGATTTGCCGCCTCCTTGGACAGTCCCGAAGGGATCATGAAGACAGACAAGGAACGGTGGCGGAGATAACTCGTGAGGTCTGTGCTCTGGGGAAACCACTTCACACGGGACAGTCCACATTTGCTGAAGGAGTCACCAGCTCTCAGAGGAGACTGAAGGCCGCCGAGCACGCCCTGCTTCCGACCCCAGGGGAGCAAAATACCTCCTGTGTTATGTGCTGCGACCGTGGGCCCAGACCACGGGGCGCAAGGCCCTTTTATCCCCATTTCTTTAATCACAGGGAAGGGCATGAGCTCAAAATCTGAGCCTCTATGGGACCATCCTACCCTGCAGATGCACAGACACAGCTGGCAGTGCCCTGCACAGACTCACGCGCACACAGATCCACACGGGACGGGCAAAAAAAAAAGGCACTGAAATACAGACAACACCAACGGTGAAGGAAATTTGGAGGGGGCTAGTGATGGAGCTGTAAATGGAGCAGGCATCGGCGTGCGATCCTGAGGAAGGTCTGGGGATGCAGCAGAAAAAGAGCTGTGCAGGTTTGCACACAGAAAGGTGTGTGCAGCGGAGGAGCCCTGCTGCAGGGCGGATCTGGGTAAAGGAGAGAGTGGGGCACAGGCTGGGGAGGAAAAAAGGAGAACAGGGAGCTCCGAGGGATAGGAAAGTGTTAGCACAGAAAGTGAAGGATTTTAGCTGGGGAGTTCCTGATGGAAATTGGTGGAAGGAGCAGGAAAGACGGGCAGGAAGATGAGCAGGATTCCTCCGTGATTTGCCAGCAGTGCGGTGAGTGTTGCTGCAGGGGGGCTCTGCCCCCCCCCACGCTGCGAGGTGCCCCCCGGCAGCACCGCGCCCCGCCGGGACTTACGGCATGGCCCCGAACTTCCTGCGCAAAAGGTAGTCGATGACGTCGGGGTCTGTCTGAAATAGCCTCCTCAGGACGTCACGTTGCATTTCTGGAGAGACCTGGGCGGGATTGCACAGACACACTGGCTCATGGCATCGCCTCCCCCCCGCCTCTCCGGAGGAAGGGGAGCAGAGGCAGCCAAGGACAGAGAAAGGTCAGGACAGACCCACCGTGTTGGTGCCACGTCCCACACACCTCCCGGGGGTCTGGGCAGGATCTCAGCCCCTGCTTTCCCCACCCTAACCCCGGCCCTTCGGCTCCCCGCCGACCTGACAATCGCGACAGGGCTTTTTAGGGACCTGAAACGCCACATTCCCGCAGACCTGTAGGAAATGGACATTTCTGGTACTTCCCAGGAATTTCCCAGGTCGTCTCCACAAACCAGGGCCTGGAGGATTGCTCAGCGCCTGCTCCTGCTGATGCAGGGGGTTTCTGCCAGGGTTTCAAAACATCTGCAGAGCCCCCGCTGCGTTGTCCCCAAGGAGAGCAGCGACGTGGCTGCACGGCGCCCACCTCCATCGCATCCCCTGGGGGCTGCCTCAGAGCGCCCACGTCCACACGAAGCACCCGTGGGTGCTCGGGACGGCACCTTGCTGCGTACCCGCAGGGGATCTCCCGCTCAACCACCTCCTTTATGTGAGTCAGTCAAAAAGACGCTTTTGGGAACCCCAGGTCGAGGCATCCCCTAGGACAGGATGAGCACTCCCCGCCTCACACCCGGGGTCCAAATCACCCACTGAAGAGCCGATCCGAAGTGACCCCGTCCTTCACTACCCTCCCTAGCTCTCCCCACCGTCACGTCCTCCCCACATCCACCCGAGGCTGTGGCACCTCCACCCCGTGCCATCACCTTCTAGCCCCTTCCCTCTTCTAGGGTCTCCCAGTCTTCCCTCTTCTTTCCCCCCTCACTGGGACTTTAGGGGAGAAGCAGTCCTGAGGTGCCACTCCTGCAGTGGCTCTTGGCCCGTTGTTTCCCATCCCAAAGGAGCTCGGTCAGACGTCACCAGGGCGGGAAGCAGCAGGGAAGAAGAGACCTGTTTGTGGCGCGACCCCGAGCTCTGCCTTTACAATGCCAGTAACAAACCATCCCAAATCAATATTAACACCTGCCACGAGGAATGAATCACATTTTCACAAGCCGATTCGAGTCACCTGCTGCTAAAGGGGGCTGTGGATACGTCCTTCCTGCTGCTGCCATTAAAAAAAAACGTTCAGAGGGGGTGGGAAGGTCTCAGGAAACTGCCCCGAGAAAGCTTCACCTACCATGAACAAGGTCTGGTAGTGCTCAATCAGCCTCTGGAGCACCAGTATGATGGCACTGCTATCTTCAAAGTTCATGGCACCAGCGTCTTTCTCCCCAGGCTTCTCTTTCTGAAGGATGTTGGGACCAAAGACTGTGGCCAGGTTTGAAACTGTCATTTTGTTCCCAGGAATCTAGCAAGCAAGCACAAAAGGAAACTGCAGATTATAGGTGCAACGGCATGAGATGTCCCAGGACAGCCTCACCCACCCCAGGACGGGAACGTGAGCTGCTCAGCGAGGCCGGGGCGTGGGTCTGGGTCCAGTTTGGTTCTTCCCAGGTTGGTGGCAGGGCCAGCATGAAGGGTCTGTGGTGCTGGAGCGCACGCTCACCCCCTCCTTGCACCGGGGCCTCCATTCCCATCTACCTCAGTCTCACAACCTCTACCGAAAGGTAACAATCAATATTTCTTTATCATCTTACAGTAAGGGACAAAACCAGTCTCTTCGAATCACGGAGAGTCTTAGAGCTCAAACTGTCTCGAGAAACCAAAATTGACCTCAGTGCACGGTCGTAAGTCTTTTGTGAAAGTTGGAGGTGGAAAACCAGAATCAGTCCACCCAAAACTCCCCTTGCGCTGCCTACGGACACACAGCCGGGTCTCTCAGGGGGTCCCGCAACCCAGAAAACCACGAAGCTGGACTGGGAGCCGCCCAGACCTGCCGTGGACAAGGGAATTTCTCAACAGTTTGGTGTCACCCGGCCTCGCAGGCAGCTCTGCTTGGTTTTAACCCAGGAAGACTGAGCACCCCCTTGCCGGCGCGGTGGGCCCGTTGGGGCCAGCCTCACCTCCTGGCCGTCGGGGCCCCGGGAGCTCTCGGCGTGCCGGGCCACCTCGCCGAGGAACCGCAGGAGCCGGTGCAGCGTGTCGCTGTGGCAGGGGGGCAGCAGGAAGAGCAGCAGCCGGAGGGCGGCCAGCTGCGCCGGCCCCTCCATGGCTAGGCAGAGAGCAGTCCGTTAATTAGCGCAGTTCCCAGGACAGCCCTCGTTTCCATCCCCAGTAACGAGCTCTGGAGCGAGCCAGCCCGGCGCCTTACCCTTCATCCCGTCCGTGCAGGGATAAGCACGCTCCGGGAGACCCCAGAAAGGGCTGCGGTGTGATTGCATTTGGTAATTTATAGCCCCACAAACTGCCCACAAACGGAGGGATTATCATCCAGTTATTCAAAAAAAAAGAAAAAAAAAGAGCACAGACTGCAGCAACTGCTCGAGGCAGTGCCAGGCAGCACATCGCTAATCCCACTGCCCTCAAGCGGTTTTGGCAAAGAAGGGTGGTAAGGAAGGATCTGGGAGCCAAACGCTTGAAAAATCGTACATAGTGTGGTGTGAATTTTCAGATTCACCCTACAGTCCACACACAGTCCAGGGCCGTTCGGCCTTTTTATTAACAGGGTCAGCAAGGGGAAAGAAAGTCACCTCACTGCAGCGATAGTGGTGCTGAGCTGGCAAGGAGCAGGACAGGGAGACAGCAAACACTCAGCCAGCCCAGGCTAGAGAGAGCGCCTGAAAAAAACAAACAAAAAAAAGAGGGTGGTATGCAAGAGGGACATTCAAAGCTCTGTGTGGTGGATGGAAGGTGAGGAGAGAGCTGCGGCCAGGGAGCTGCCCGCGTCCTGCTCTGGTGCTGGCTGCAGGGGGAGGCTCCTTAGATCACTCATATGGGGGGAACTGGCAAAATCTCCCGGCTGAGGCGTGAGGATCACACGGCCTGGCAGTGACAAGGGAACAGGCAATGACAACAGTGTGTAACGGAGCACGTAACTAAACCGCAGCCCGGACTGCGGAGCGTCACGTCCACCACCCGGCTGGGTGGGCTCGAGCCACGGCTGGGCGAGGGGCTGGCACGGAAAGGCCACTAATGGCTGTGAAACACTACCAGGAGTTCAGGCTCGGGTTCCTTGGAGACCACTGGAAGGGGAAATATTGGAGAAAACAGCACTGTCTTTACACCCTCCTCGAAGGAAGAGATCCCGGCTGCTCCTGGAGATGGGATAGTGGTCCGGACCAACCTTGCTCCAGCCACGTGCGCCCACCCTTGTGTCAAGCCTGGAAGACGTAGCTGTAGCCCGTGTGCCCGGCTCCAAATAAAAGATATACTTCAGTACAGCAACTGTTCTGCAGTTCTGCTCGGCTTCTGGGGGCAAATGGCAATGGCAATCTGTATTAACCTTCTCATATACAAACGTGAAGCCCATCCTTTAGCCAAAGTAACACCGATCTCCACCGGAGAAGGCAGTTCATCTGACAGTTCCTAGCCATTTGCTTTACAGTGTGCCCTCAAAGTCCTTATATGACAAAGGTGCGTCATTTATTCTTCCGTCTTTTAGACTTGTATGAGAAAATGCCGTCACTTCACATTCAGAGGAAGATGAAGATCTAACAGAAATAGCAGCTTAGCAGATCTGGACAAGGGTTACAGGCTCCTGACCCACAGGGTGAACGTCTGGCACTGCCGGGGAAGGGTGAAGGCCGGGACTGGCAGCGGCTCAGACCCTCCCGGGGGATGGCCGGGGGGCACGGGGAGGTGCCGCGGGGCAGCAGCCAGCACACGGCCAGCCAGCCCGTCCACCACCAGCCACGGTGGCCACGCCACGCGCGGGCGGGGAAGAGACGTGAAAATACAAACGTGAAAATAAAAAAAAAAAAAAATGGCAAAGCCAATGGGTCAGCATGGCTTCTGCGGAGGGAGGTGCTGCTGTTCAGGCCTCCTGGAGCTCTCTGGTGGGTCAGGAACCACGGCGGGGGCGGGGGGAGGCTGCTTCGGTCTCCCTGGACTTCTGGAAGGGTTTGGGCAAAAGCTCTCATTTAAAGACCTGAGGTAAGCGAAACAGCTGTGACACAGGGAGATGATCTTCTGGGAGGCAAATAATTCGTTAAGAAATGGGAAACACATGGTAGGAGCAACTCACACAGTGTTTGCTGTTCACAGCTTGTGCTGCTCAACCTGTTCCTTAACGAGCTTGGAAAAGACGACAGCAGTGGCAAGAAGAAAGCTTTGGAAGCAGCGGTCTGGCCTGGCCTTCTCTTCAGCTTGAGATGGCGGTTCCTTCCTCACATCTTCCACCTCCACGCTCTTCACAAGCAGGGAGACCGTCTTCTGAGGTCAGGGATGTCCCCCCAAATTCTCTATGCCCAGAGCCTGTAGGTTCACCACCCCGCAGGCTTCTGGAGAGTGGGACCCAGGCAAACACGTGGCCCCACGTCCTCCAAAAGCATCTGCGTCTCCTCAAAGGGAGGGAAGTGATCCAACTTTCCTGGCAGCCTGAGCTGATCCTTGTGCTCCAGGATCTCCTCCTTCCCCGCAGACTCTCCCATCTTGCCAGCTGTGGGCATCCCCAGGCCCCCTCTGCAGCCCTTCCTGTGGATGGGTCTTACAAAACGCTGAAGGAGCTGGCAGCTCTAATTATTGCTGATTTGCAAAACGGCTGATTTGGAAGCTCATATCAAAGATAATGAGAATTCTACACCTCAGACTCCAAACAAAAGACATTAAAAGTGAAGACAGCACAGCCACTTCCAGCTGGGATGTGGTACCAGCCTGCTTTTCACTTGGGGTGCGTCCTTCTGCTTCCCCGCTTTGATCCAGGCCCCCTGCCCCGCTTTGAGCCATCCCCCCATCTCCACCACCACCCCGGCTTCCCTGGCCTCCCCAAGGAGTCCGTGTGCCAGCACATGCCCAGTCTCAGGATATTATCTATCCCGAGGAAACTCAGTGCTGCGTGCCCACAACTGGAAGCCGTGCCAGTAGCCCCCGCTCCGTGCCTTCGCTCTGGGGTGATTTCAGCAAGGACAGGTTGGGTTCACACTCCTGCTCTGCAGTGCAGCTGTGCCGTACGCTCAAATACCTGAGCTTGGGGGCAGAGATTGCCTCGTACATTCCCCTAAACCCCTGCCCACCCCTGGCCCCCCCCTCCACGTGCCTCCCCTCGCTCCCTGACTTGGCACAGCCTGATAGCGAGCCCACTGGTGCGTAGCTGCTCGGTTTTCATGTGGAAGCAGGGACTCAAGGATGTGGAGAGAAGGGTGGCAAAAGGGAAGCAAAGACATAGCGAAGGAGACCGAGATGCTGGAAGCTGTGGAGACTGCCTAAAAACTCAGTCACCCGAAACGCAGAGGGTAAGGGAGACCTGGGCAGAGGGTTTGCAAAGACACCCTGGCCGGCAGCACAAACTGCTGGGCTGAGCTCCTGCGCCGCACGCAGAGCTGTGCTGGGACCTGGGGCTCAGCCAGGTAATTACACGGGAAGAAAACTCCTGGGTTTTTTAACTCACAAAACCAAACGTGGACTGTGCAGAGTGAGCCTCTGCCCTCCGGGTACTCACAGGCGGTGCGGAGGAAGGCTGCGTAGAGCTCTCTGGGAATCAGTGAATCCGGCATGTCCCGAAGGAACTCTTTGAGCAGAGCAGCCACATCATGAACGCTTTGACGCTCATCCAAGAAAACATCCAGTCCTCGGTCAAACTCTTCCCTCAGCTTAAAGAAAGGAAGAAAGGAGAAGAATTAAAAGCAACGGTCAGTTCTTCCTCTTTATACGAGGCGTGCTGTCAGGAACTGCCCCTGTAAAGAGCTACTGCAGCGGCAGGACAGGAGGGCTGGCTGCTCCCGGTGTCCCCCCATGCAGGGCACCCCCAAAGACCACGGCATGCCAGAGCCCCAGCGCCTGCTGCTGCGAGAGCACGGGGCCGGGAGGAGCTGCTGGCTGGAGGAGGGGGCCCGGGGCGGGCTCTGAGGTGCCAGCCAGGGCATGGGGGCTCATCTGCTAAAGGCAGCTTGGGGAGATGAAGCCTGCTCTCCGCGGCTGGGAGAGGGACCCAGCAGCAGGTTACAGGCTGCCCGTGATCCAGCACACGCCTGTGGCATTTTAGATCTCTCCACATCACTGTCTGCTTTATGCCTTCCCCAGCCAGACAAGCATCTGTCCGTTGGGTGCAGTAAATGTCTCAACTTTACCTGCTGGACCCTCTTTTTGGAGCTCCCAACCCGGAAGATGCCCACCGTCTGGAGACCTGGGAGAGAGACGGGTTAGTGCCCTGCACTCCCACGGCCCCCCGCCACCCCGACTGGTCCTCGGAGCGCCCCAGCATCGGGGAAGGGGTTCTCCTGCCCTGCACAAGAGGCAGCGCATCCTTCCGCGCTCCTGGCAGAGGGGGTAAAGATAAAGGTTTTGGAGCTGTAAGGTTTTCTGGGACGCTACCTCCAGCCCAGCGGACGCTCCCTGGGTGGCTTTGCAGGAGCGCTCCCCGCCCCAGGGAATCAGCTCCTCCCGTCTTGGCCGAACTGCCCCAGCCCACTACACACGGTGGGTTTTACCAACCCGTGGAGGCGTGCGTATTTACCGTGCGTTTCGATGTGTTCGCAACACTTCTCCACGATCCGCGGCACCTGCCGGGTGATGGGGTTGAGGCTCAACGTCTTTTTCTTGCCCAGGCTTCTCGGTGGGTCCAGCTCGTGGGGGTGTGACAGCTGCAGGGCCTCCAGCAGCTTGGAAGCGTTGTCGCTCAGGTCGGTGATGGAGTCCACGGACATTGCCCCCTGAGACGGAGCAGAGGCGATTCGCAGGGTGGCAGGAACCACCCCGCGGGAGCCCAGTACATCGCTGTGAGCGCAGAAGTTTGTGGGGAAGGGAAGCATCACCCCCAAACGAACACAGAGCACCGCAGAGACACCCTTCGTCTCCCCTGCATTCGCCCACGTGCCCTGCTCCTAGTAGGTGCTGTTCCTAAACACAGCCTACGCCGCACGCAGACACGGGGAAGGAGGAGACACCCCCAAATCTTGTACCTTTGACCGTGCAATATACTGGATTTCGCGACTTGCATTGGAGCTGCTTTACACCCGGGGTTACAGGCACTTGGCAAGACGCAGGCGTGGGTCTCTACCCCAAAATCATGAGGTACAGCCTAACACCCACCACCCCTCGCAGGAAACAAAGGCTAAAGCCAAGAGGGTGGCCAAGGGTGAGCAGCCCCACCGTCTCCCCCAGCCCTTGGGCGAGGGGAGCCCCTGGTGAAAGCAGCCCAGCGGGGTGGCACTGCGGGTGTCCCCCAGCAGCGAGGGGTCCCCCCCTCCCTCCCTCGCTCCCACCTGCCCAGGTGTTGGAGAATGGCTCAGAGATGGGGATCCTGAGCCCACCGAGCAGTTGTATGATCAGAGCCTGCTCTAGCTGCTGATGCTGAGCCTCACTAGGGTTTGCCTGCAGCTGCTCGCAGCTGCTGATACAGGAGGAATGTCAAGGACGCTTCGGCCCTGTGTACCGTGGTGTGTCGAAAACAGGTTAAGGGGAATTAGGAATAGTGGTCTGAGAAACCCAGTGTTATGATAACGGTGGTCTGAGAAACATTGTGTTACGGTACTGTCATGTATCGAAAACAAGTCAACAGAAATCAGAAATAGTAGCATGAGAAACTTAGTGTTATGAGAAGCTTGTGCTGTAAGCTAACTGCAAGTAGGTGGACCGTGCGAATAAGACCTTTAGAGCTTAAGCCAATCAGCTAGTGACTAGTAGGCATAACAATTATCATTGTCTGTATAAATATATGTACCCTGGACCAATAAACACACACGTTAATTGATGCTCTATCTTTCACACTGAACCCGCCTCGGCGTGTCGTTCGTCCGCGGCTCCGCACCCAGGGAGCCCAACACGACCCACCGCCAACAGCCACAACTGCTGCTGGGAACGTCGCAAGCGCGAGGCCCGGTCTCCGAGGTGTGATGCAGTGGAGGAGTAGAAAAAGCCACGCCACTGATGAGGAATCCCCTCCTACCCCTATTTAACTTCGGCTGCCCAGCCGTGTCCTTCTGGTGACCTTGGCTCCTGAAGAGCTGAGCTAGTAAAGGGTGTCCCACGCCTCACAGTCCGTCTCCTGGGGGGAGCAGGGGGACCCCGTTTCCCTGAGGACACGCTGGGAGTGACCCAGCACGAACAACACACATGCATTAAGAAAAGACCCCGGGAAATCATATTTACTGCTGAAGCCTGAGCCTCCCCCAACCTGCAGCGTCATCACGGTGCAGCTTTATTTTTTTTTTTTTTTTTTTTTTGCAATCGTACCCTTCGCTGGCTCCGGGAGCTGTTGCTGAGAAAAGCCGGGGAAAGCGGCTCCTCCGGGAAGACCCCGCAGGGTACCCGGCCACAGCCCCTGCCCGTCGGGGACCTCTTCTGCCTCTGAGCCCGAAATCTCGTCACCGTCGCTTCCACCTCCAGGCAGAGCCGGCGGCTCTTCTTCACCGCCTCCTGCAGTTGCTTGTAGGCGCGGTCATTGGCGATGACTTGGAAGAGCGGGATCCCGAAAGTCTGAGGGGAGCAGTCTAGGGAGAAACATGGGAGAAATGGAAAAGCATGGCTAGCAGGCAAAAAAAAAAAAAAAACCCACGAGAGGGAACTGCACTAGCACAGCCCAGCTGCCAGGTACCCATGTGCATACCTGGACAAAATAACTAACGGATGGGAGGGAATAGCCGGGTGCCGTGACGGTAACCCCCAGCAGGAGAGCGAAGAGGCCAAGGTACAAAACCAATTCAATACACGATGAGGAGATCTGTGGCTCGAATCCAGGGCGTTCATCCTGCAGCCATCAGTGCCCTTGCAGGCCCTGTCCCCTCCCGCTCCTCCTCCAGCTCCCCGGGGGCCTGGGGTGCCCGGGGCGGGTGGGAAGAGCATCCCCGGGGACCCTGGGCAAACCCACCGGGGAGCTGCTGCTCCTGGAGAGCCCCGGAGCACTGCGTGGGGGGACCCGGGGTGCTGGGCAGCCAGGGAGCCGAGCGGGGAGGGCACGGCGTGGGAGATGGCGTGCTGGAGGAAGAGGCAGGAGGCACAGGGGAGCTGGGAAGGTGGCAGGAAAACTGGCCTCCACCAAGGTGCTTGTTGAAGCCTCTCCCGGTTCTTCATGAACTTTCTGCCTCATGAAGACGCCACAGGGTCCATGAAGTGGAGGCTTCATGAATCACCAGAGATATCTGATACAAAAGATTCTTACCAAATTAAAACCTCCAGCTTTCTACAGGGTTTGTGCCAGTTATGTCTCTTCGAGAACAGTCTTGGTATTAATGGCAGTTTCCCCAAATAACTTGCCCCCTCCGTACCTCCTTGCAGAGGCAAGGAAAGCCCTCCTTACTTCCAGCCCCCCCACTACCCTGGGCCAAGAGGTTTTGCCACAGATCCATTCAGTAAACTATCAGACTGCTGCTCAGTAATTTCCTCGAGCGGACTTTGTACTGGTGTGAAGAACATTAGTAAGTGTTCACTCCCAGCTGGCTGTGCCCTGTGCTGCTGGTTTCCTCAGGTTTGCACGGGCATCCTTCAAGGGACAAGAAAAGAGAACTCAAAGCAGCGAGACCAGGGGTAAAATGGGCAGAAATACTCATACCTGCACATCTTTACAAATGCACGCACATGCACACACATATTTTGTCCACACACACATGCAATCCCTCCCAGACTCTCTCACGTTTTTCCATGGATCATTACACCCCGCTCTGGTGAACCGCAAAACAACACGGGACAAAGCACCTTGCTGAATTTGGGCCAAAAATCACCAATTCCATGTGAAAGCAGGGACCAAACCCTGGGTAAAAGGAAGGCTGCTCACCTTTCTTCTCCTTTGAAAAGCTCTCCAGTTTCTGGCGGATAGATTTACTGCCTTTAGGTCCAACTATGAGGAGAAAAGAAAAACTTTAGCTGTCCAAAGGCTGTAGCTTAAAACTCTTCTGGCCACCTTTAAATTCTGTGCTCATGTGTTATACATGACTCTGTATTAATGATGATGTCCTAGCAATTACTTAATGACTCAGAAAGCTACCCTAATGCATCCTCAGAGGTCTGGTCGCGACACTGGAAAGAGGAATACAGCCCCAGAAAAGCTTTTGGGAATGTTTTACACAGCACAGACAGATGAAGTCAGACAAAACACACACCACCAGAAACGCCACTCTGGTCCTAGAGCCAAGCCCCGCTCCCGAGTCCTCCCCACGCTGCACATCCAGGGACAGCAGCGGTGAGCTGAAAACTCATTCACCTAAACCCTGCCGGGACACATCGCCCTATTCTCGCTTGTGCTCCTTATTCCTGAGGGATTGTCTTCCTAGCAACAGCTTTGATAGTTGCTTGGGTTATTCTGTAAGATTTAGAAGAAAGCTATGAAAGCTGGTATGAGCAGCATGCACACAAAGGGACAGCCTGCGTGGATTATTCCGCAGCACCATATGTGTTGGTTCATTCAAATGACCGGATAGCAGGAAGATGAAGGACAACCTGGAGACAAGAAACACCCAGCCAAGGAAAAAAAAAAGGCCAGGAAAACTCCACTGCTTCAGCATCGAGTTAGGAGGGGTGACACAACGGGCTGAGGCTGAGCATCAGCATAACCCTCCACTCCTAAAGCCGGGCAGATGCTCCTAAGGGAAACAAACCAGGAGGCAGCAAGAGAATAAAGAAACCACCGGGCCCCCCGGCCCTGAAAGCCGGGATCTCCATGAGAGGGGGACACGTATGAGCCACCCCAAACCCGGGAGATGAGGACAACTCCTTTTCACGGAGAAGCGTTACAGCAAGCTTGATGCTTGTGCATCCTCCAAAGATTTCATCCTTCCTTGGTCACCCCCCCGGCTCGAACCCCAGAGCTGCTCGTGCGGACTTGGCCGAAGTGAGATGCAGAGCCCAGGAGGTGTTTGCTCAGTCGCTCGGGAGGGCCACCCCAAGCCCGTTTGCTGTAAGGTCTGAGGTGCTGCGGAAGTTTGTTGGGCTTGAACGCGGTAAGGAGTCTCGGAAGGAAAAGAGCAGCCCGGAGGGTATCGAAGCTGAAGGCTGCCCCAAAGGGTGGTTCACAAGGGGATGCACGCCCCGTGATCCTCAGCATCTAGGTAGCTGGAGATATGAGGTTTAAAAGAGGTGCTGAACACCTTTTCCTTGAGGGAAATAATAAAACCTGTGCAGTGGCTGTTTATTAAAGAAGGCAGGAATTTCCCGTGGGTGGGTGCTGGGGGCAAGTACAGACAGGTGGGTGGACCCCGATGGAGACCACGCAGCCCAAATTCAGGCATTTCCACAACCGTGGACTTCCCTTTAAAACGCTGGGGTGGGAAAATGATGTTGCAAGCGCAATAGTTTCATGGCTAATCCTCAGCATCTCACACGGACTCCCAGCCAGCTCACTGCAAAAGAGCAATTAGCAGGTAGAAATCTAAAGGATACAAAGATGGACAAAAGGAAGGAGGGATTCCCTGACAGCAACCGCTTCCTTCAAAAACCACCTGAGCATGAGACTGATGTCCAAAATACACACAAGGATGTGATCAGGACTTTGCTGTCCCCTGCCCTTATCCCGCAGGGAGAGAGGAGCCCATCGGATAAAATGCAGCACACTTAACAGCAGGGAAAGAAATTTTTTTTTTTTCTTTTTTTTTTTCTGCACTGCACTGTTCCCTAGAGAAGCTGCTGCTGCAGGGTATCACTGAAAATGGGATCACAACAGCTCAAAATAAAAACAAAGGAAAAGGAACCAGGATATTTGTGGTCAGAGTCCCCCCGGGGATTTAAAGGCAGCCTGCGGTGGCTGGTGCTGCAGCCCTGGGGCAACTGGGAGTTCTGGGAATGAGAGGGGAGCTTCCTCTCTTTTACTCTTCTTGAAGCCCTTTCATTGCATGAAACCTTCCAAATTTTAATAGAGACAGGATATGAAACCTGGATGTCGCCTGGAGTAAGTGCTTGCTGTCCAGCGTGAGGCTGAGCATTAGGAAATGCTCCTCCCCTGGGACGGGGCCCCAGAGATGTTGGGGGGCTCCATCCTCGGGAGGTCCCAGCCCCAGCTGCCCCGGGTACCTCCTGCCCTGCTGGGATGCCAAAATGTTGGGAAGATGTTGGGGGATGTGGGAGCCCAGGCAATGCCTGCACGTCTCGGTAGGCCAGGACAGAGGAGCTCAGTCCCTGTGGAGCTTCTATATTTATCTGCCCATTAATTTTAGCAGCACATCTTCCAGCCTTGCATTAGCCCCATCCCAGCATCAGGACTTTGTGCTGGACATGAATCCAAAGAGCAAAGCTTGTCCCATCCCAACGGCATTTAGTCCCGGTGGGAGACCTTGCCAAGTCACATTGCATCTGGTTTGGATTAGGGGGATCAGAGGCAGGCAACAGGCAAGGTCATATTCTCACACTCCTATGGACACGCAAAACCCCCTCGAAAGGCTGATTAGGCCCGTGAGGCTCAGACCAAAGCCGGGAACAAAGATTAAAATGGACCAAAACTTGTCACAAACGTCCTTCCACAAACATCATCCCGTGTTACGAAGTGTGGGCGTGGGGGTGAGTGGCAATAGTGGCCCAGACCTCAGCCCTCCCTCAGCAGGAGCCGCCCTCCCCCAGTCCTCTACCTTTCGCCAGGCTGAGATCTCCAACAAGCAGCTTCTCCTGCAGCTGGTAGAGAGCAATCTCTTGCAGGCTGGCTCTTTCCAACTCCGAAAGGCTGTGCAGGGGCACAGGCTGCATTTTGGGGCTTTGTCCCGGCAGAAGAGCTGAGGCAAGGGTCCTCTGCAATAAAAGTATATGTATGTAAAAAAAAAATAAAAGAGTCAGGAGCACACGGCAGAGACGCCTGCTTTAGGAGAGAAGCTGCTGAAAATGCCACAGCACGTCTTTGCAAGTGCAGGAGACACTTGGCCTTCGTGCACCGCTCGGAAGAGCCCGGTGGTCTGTAGGTGCCCCAGCCACAGCATCTCACTGTGACCCTCCAAGCAAAGGCCTTGGGGGCATCAGGGAGTACGTGAGGGACCTCGGAAAGCGCCACGGCCGATTCCAGCTGCCATCTGTTTTCACATGAATCCCCACACCCTCGGGCTCACGTACACAAGACGGGGCACATCCTGGCCTGCCAGAGGAGGGACTGTGGTCCTGATGCTGGGGACTTGGCCACTCTTCACCATGGGAACATGGTCCCTGGCTGGCATCAACCTCGAGACCACGCTCCACGTGAGCAAAGTCAGCGCGGAGGCCATCTCCTTACCAAACCAAGAAAGCACGATTTGTCCCCAAAACTCATGCGAGGGACGTGGCAGTGGGCAGCGCTCGGTCCAACGCCTCACCCGACACCGCTTGCTGAGCAGCTCCCGGGTGGGAAGAGAAGCAACACGCACACAGAGCCAGGGCCTCCGTCCCAGCTACGCCAGGATCAACCCCAGAGACATCCAGACTTGGACTTTCTTCACCTTCCTGCCCCACCAAAGACGTGGCACCTGATGAAAATCTCTCCCTGGATGCTGCAGCAGCCTGAGCGTTTCCCGGCTCGCCCCAGACACCCGCCTGGCTTCGCCCCTGCCCTCCAACGAGCTCCACCAAGGCAGGGAGCCCCGAGCCTTTTGGCACGATGCTAAGAGGTCCCGGCAGCCCTTCTTCATCCAAATCAGCTCATCACGAGCAAAACCCGGGTGGAAAGGCCCTGGGACGGGATACCAGCCTTGGACTGGTCTTTGGAGGGTGCTGGGCAGATGTACACCCCTCCTCTCCTCCACCCACATCCCACCACGTGCTGGGTGCCGAGGTATGGGGAGAAACTGAGGAGGGGTGACCTCCTGGAAAGCCTTCCTGCATCAGGTGGGGAGAGGCTGGAGGGATGCCTCCCCCTCTGCAGAAAGGTGCGTGCAGCAGTTTCCCTCCAGGGTGGGTGAAGAGAAAAGAGCTTTAGGGCTCTGGGGTATTTTAGTCATAAAAAACTTCTACAAAGCAGCGCACATCCCACCAAATAAGACTTACAGCCCCTTTTGGTTCACAAGCTCTTCTTCTCTCCTTCCCACCCCCCCCTCTCCCTTTTTAAATAAGGTTTGTTTCTTAATTTAATACTAAACACCGAGCTTTACCTCTGGTAAATCAGACACTTCCAGCGCCGAGCGGTGCTGCCGCAGCCTCTCCAGCGCCTTCGCCCCCGGCACAGCCTGGGCTGCAGCCCCCGGCCCCACGCAGCTCACGGCCGAACGCCCCATCCCCTCTCCTGCATCTCCCTGTTCGCAGCCCCCCGGAGAGGCCACGCAGGGACCCGCGCTGGCCCCCGGCTCCTCGCCCCGCACCGGCCTGGGGCTCAGCCTGCCGCACCCCCCGGCCAGCCCGGCCTCGGTCCAAAGAGCAAAAAGCAGCAATAAACGGAATAAAGGACCAAGGTCATCAGCGTGCGCGCGGAAGAGATGTGGTCAGAGTACAGGCTATGAAACGAGCCTCCCCAAAGAGGGCTTTAAGGCGGCAGTGAGAAATATAAATGCCCGGAAATCCCGTAGGGCTGCAGGTACCCTGGGGCAACGTTGCTTTCGGCCAGGTTTTCCATTTCTAAAGCTGTTTAGAAAGTCACACAAATTTTTAAACTATGAAGGAGCTGTTACGAGCTCCCCAGAAGGGCACCCCGAAAAGGGAATTAGCTAAAGGCAAAGATATTCTTGAAACATTTGAGGTTTATGACAAAAACTACGTGCCTCGGCACGGACGTGGTGACAAATGTGAGATGCAGCACAGCCAAGCTGCCTGGCACAGCTCAGCACCTCGGGACGATTAAAAACTGTCTCATACGCTGGATTCAGGGGTAAATCACCCAGGAAGAGCTGGTGCAATCCTACTCCCGCGGCAGCTCATTCTGCGGGCAGCCAGATGTAGCACTGACCCCCACCCTGGGCCTGGGGCTCGGGGGACGCATTAGCAAAGAGGCCAAATGCCTGGTTAAGTTTTAGGTGAGGCACAGCCCGTGGAGGCACTCGTGCCTTGCTTGAAAAGGGGCTTTTTCATTATTAAATTATTAAACACATCAGGAGCTGTTCTCTAGGCTCGGCAGCTTGCTTTGGCTGCCCCTCCACGCGCTGCCTCCCACGGCAAGCTCAGCAACCAGCCTTGAACGCCATACATGGCTTTTTATAACTTTCATCCTACAGGGAAAAAAAAAAAATAAAAAAAAATCTGTGGAAGGAAGAAGCAGCCCTTTAGGAATGTATTTTATTTACTGTCTCGATGAGGCTGCATGTAAGAGGTCAGTCCTAAAGTAAAATAACTAACTGGTCCTACACCAAGCTCTGCAAACAGATGCTGGGGCACGAGCTCCCCTGGGGTCGCCTGGGTGGGAGAAGGGGGCTCAGATAAAACGCTGCCTTCGACAGGCCAGAGCATCTCCACTTGCTAGCAATAGCTCGTGTGTTTCTGCCACGGCAGAAATGCTGTGGACAGACAGACAAGCCCCCGAGACAGACACACTGAAGGAAATCACCTCTGGGCAGGCGAAGCTCACGGCTCCGGGCAGAGCCCGCAGTCAGGGTGGGAGCGGAGTCACCGAGGATGTGGCTGCCTCGGGGCGAGGAGGAGGAAACCCGATTAGGAGAGGGAGCAGAAGAGGGAAAGCAGGAAGGAGAAGTCGGGACAAGCAGCTGCTTATCTGGTCCCGCCATAAACGCCGCGAGAACAGCCCCATAAAATGCCACTACCACCAGCCTCCTGATGAAGTCGTGCTTCGGCTGTTAACCCTCCCAAAACCCGGCTTTGCTTCTTGCATTTATCCTCAAGGGAGCAAGCTAGGTGGGGACCACCGCCGCCAACTTACTGGGTGGGAGTCCCTGCCCCGCGGTGGGCGATGCGCTGCCGAGCCCCGGACGGCAGCGGGCCGGGCACCGGCGCTGCCCGCGAGGAGGAAAATGCCAATAGGCAGCGGGGGAAAAAGGCAGAACATCACCAATCCTCCTTCAGAGGGGGGGACGCTGGAGAAGGAATCTTATTAATTCAAAAACAGAAATAAAATGCCTTTCACTGGGAGCGTTAACGGAGCGCTTCCTCCCTGCAATGACTTTCTCGGCTTATTTTTAGGGCTAGGGCTTATTTAAGGAAAATCTCATGGGAAAAGCTCAGCTGCCCCTTCTATTCCCAACGAGCTGCAGTTCCTCATTTTCCGCAGCAAAGTTACTCTCTTCCCAGCTGGAATGAAGGGCTGGCGTTTACCTTCCTGGTTTCCTTCTCGCAGCAGGACCGGCGGCAGCCTGGGCTCCCTCCGAGACGCTGGTTTTCGAAGCAGCATCTGGCAGAGCGGGTGGGGGAACGTCCCCTGCCTGCCGGCGGGAGGAGAAGCGGAGCAGTGACGGAGAGGAGCCGCTGCAGCCGACCGTGGCCGAGGGGAGGAGAGGGGTGATGAGAACGTGAATTTTCTGCCAAAAGAAACGAGAGCCAGAAACTTCGGGTGGAGAGAGAGAGAGAGAGAGAGAGAGGGCAGGGTTCCATGGGAAGGAACAGCACTTCCCACGACAGCGTCCGCGCCCTGGCAGGGGATCGATCGTTGCTCAATCCGTCCCCGTGCCCTCCCCACTCTCATCTGTCAGTAACCAGGGCAGCCACCGAAGCATCGGCCGTCCTGGCAGATGAAACCTGAGAGGGAAATTTGCTGCCTGGGTGCTGGTCCATGAGGGCCAGGGGGATGGTTTTCACCTTCAACCGCTCCGTCTCAGCATCTTCTCAACCACCGCGGCTCCAGGGCGGGCAGGGCCGGGCACCGGGGTCCCCTGCAGAGCTCGGCCCTCGGGGAGCTCCCAGCCCCGACGGGACGGACGTAAACCACGCTGTAGGCAGTGGGGTTAGGGACCCCAGAGAGCCTTACGAATCCACAGCAACCAGCAAAACACACGCGTGTGTGTGTGTGTGTGTTAAGACCCAAAACTGGCGCCTCCTCGCCCGTTAAGGCGCCCGCGAGCGCCTCGGGGACCGCAGCCGGGCTCCCGGGCCGCGGCGCGGCGGCGACTGGGCTGCAAGAGCCCGTCCCCCGGGCAGAGCCGCGCTGCCCCGCGTCTGCCCAGTCCCGCCGTGGCCCCGCGTCCGATCCAGCAGACGCCGGCTGCCACCAGCCGATTTGCCTCCCTCCCCAGAGCAGCCGCAGGCCGAGGCCGCAGCCAGGCTCGTGGCTTCCCCCGCAACGTGCAGCCGTTGCACGGGAACGCCCTTTGCAGGCGGAGGCTGCCGCGCTCCCCTTCCCCGCCCCGCGCATCGCCTCGTGGCCCACCTCCGTCACCAAGTACAAACCGGTGTCGCGGCACCAGACGTCCGCCCCAGACACTGCTGTGATCAGCAAACGCCGTCCGCTTTCGGAGGAGGAAGGAGGTCACGGACCTTGCATTCACTGCCCGTCGAGTAAAGAGGCTGGGGAGGAAGCGGGGAGGGTTTCGGAGCCGTTTGCCACTGGTCGCTCACTGGCCCGGTAGTTTTGAACGCTCCTAAAACTTACTACGGGGACAGCGAAGCCCCGTGTTGGCAGAGGACTTGGGATGGAGCACCTCCTCTCCCGCAGCAGGCAACGGAAGCTAGGTGAGAAAAAAGAAAGCAGCAGGGCCAAGATTTGCCCATAAAAAAAAAAAATGTTTATTCCTTTAAAAATACAACGTTCGCCTGCAGCGACGCAACGATACAGAACGTTTCTTTAGAAGGGGTCTCATCTGCCTCCAGTGTGGCAAAAACCTTCGGAGCGAGGAGCGCGGGCAGCCCCGTCCCAAACATCTGCAGAACGGCTTTCTCCTGGCGGCAAAGAGCACACGAGGTTCCAGGGAGGCCTCAGTGCCCCCGGCAGGGCCCGGAGCAGGGCGGCAGCAGGCCCCCGGGTCCCAGCCCCGCCGCCCCCCCCAGCACAACCCGCCCGGCCCACCGCCAAACCGCCGGACGGCCCCGGCCCCGGGCGCTCCGCCAGCCGCAGCAGCTCCCGCGGGACGGCTCCCGGGCCCGACCCCGGCTCCCGTCCCGCCGCCGCGGCGGCTTCCCCGCTCCCGGGCCGCCCCAGCCGCCGCGCCCCGCTCATCCCGGAGCTCCTCGGCGTGCGGCGTGGCGGCCGTGCCCTTCCCGACGCCCCTCTGCTCCGGCCACGCCTGCCCCCGGGCTCTAAAACCGCCCACGCCTCTGGAGCCTTTTTCCGAAGGAGAGGTCTCCTGCTCAGCACGGACTACCCCGTCCTCTCTCCACCCGGCTGAACGCGGTGGGACGGGGGCAACGGTGACAAGTTCCTGCCCGGTTTCCCCCCGTGACCACCCCACAGGTGCCGGGGCATAATAGATCCAGGGCTCTGTGAGTAGAACCCAGCGATGACCGGGACAACGGTTCATCAAGGTTGGAAGTCGCCAAGATTGAGTTGGCCTCCACCCTGCATCAAAACCGGTCCCTTAAAGAAGAAGAAAAGGCGGGTCACTGTCACAGGACGCTCCCTTCTGGTGGCCCAACAGGCCAGACCCACTTCTTAGGGAAGTCTGCTGCCTCCCTCGGAGCCGGGTTAAAGACGTGAAGAGAAAACTTCCCGCCCTGGTACGGCCCTCGGATCAACCCCCGTTCTTGATTTTTCAGGTAGGCAGCGATGGAGTTGCAGCAAGAATTCCCAGGGCAATCAAGAGAGACTTCGGGGCCTTGGGACGGCCGGTTAAGGGATCAGGAGCACGAGCAGTGTTTGTTCTCCTCCATCCTCCCAGCTGCGGGGGAGGATGAGGGGAGAAAGAGGAAGCCCCAGCAGATCAACACCTGGCTCCGAGCCTGGTGTCAGCGGCAGAACTTCGGGTTTTTTGATCGTAGGTTGGTCTACACAACACCAGGGCTGCTGGTGACAGACGGGCCCCGCCTGCCCCAAAGCGGGAAAAGGATCTTTGCGCGGGAGCTGGCAGGGCTCACGGAAAGAGCTTGGAACTGGATTTGAAGGGAGAAAGGATAAAACCAGGCTCCCTAGAGATAAGCCTGGGGGTGGCACGCCGATGTTTGAGGGACAGCGCGCGAGCGAGGTCCTTCCGTCGGCTCCAGGCTGTGCTGAGAACGTGAGGAACAGCCTGTGGGAAGATTCAGGAGCAGGCTCTGCGCTGCTTGTAGCACTTCCAGAAGCTCAGTCTCCAGAGCAAAGGGGATGGAGAAACGTGGTGGTAAGCTATTACTAAAATAGAGATCTGATGTAGGCTCTCTGCTCCACCCAGATCAACAGAAGATTAAATACCCTTCCCTTGTAAAAAATTATTTACAGTCTGACTCTGCAATGTACAGATTGCCAGTGGCACTGCCAGAATCACACTCAGCTCCTAGAGACACTGCCTTCATCTTAGCTTAACTGGTAAACCATTAGTAAAGAAAAAAGCAGGGAAAAAGAACCAACCGTTTGGCTCAGAGAACTCCGAGCCATCTAAATCTTCTGTTTAAACATACATCAGGTTTTAACCATAGAGATGTCTAAAAAAAAGTCTTCCACCCCCTCTTTTGGTGGTTCTACAAACCAGAAAAATGCCTCTCTTGTTGCTTCAGAGGACAGTCTATGGTTGTTCCTACCAGTAAAAAGAAGGTACAGAATGAGAGATTTGGGCACACAGAACACACACAACACTGGCAACACACAGTCAACACGCGGTGCTTAAAAATATCAGACATGAACTTTTTTCACAAAATATATTGAACAGCACTTGCCTGTTAACAAATAACTGATCAAAGAAGCTACAGAAATTGAAGTTTCTTCCAGTGCTGCTCTGGACTTACGGTATCACTTACATATTATCCCACCCGAGTCTGTGACACGTGCAAGATAATCGTCATGAACAGAGGTAAGAGGCATCCCAGGTTTTCCTGGCGTACGCATCCTGCTGTTGTTTTCAGCATTAAGTCAAAGCTCAAGTCATTTTCAGTCCATCAAAGCCACAAAACTTCCACCTTTTCTCCAGGCTGGCCCCAACCCCACTCAGCTCCTGCCTGAACGTGTTCTGGAGTCGAGTCATGAGAACTTCCACTTCCGCGGTGCAAATCTGCGAAAACAGAAGGAAAACGTCACTGGAACGACGACGCTTTTGGTTACGGGCGGCCTGTAACGACTGATGATGTTCAGGCTGAAACCCATTTAATTGCTGAAGTACACCCAGGCCTTCCCTAAACGGCCTGTCCAAATCCTCATGGTAAAGATCTCGGGACAGCGGGGGTTGTGCTGCTGTCAGGCGTTTTCCCCAGGCCGTGCCCTGCAGGAGCTGAACCTGCGGCCCCGGTGGTGCAGCAGGACACGTACCCGCCAGCACCTTCACCCCGTCACACACCAGCTACACAGTCTGCATCAAAAGTCAGCCAGACGTGGCCGGGCAGGCCCGTAAATCTGACTGCTCTGGCATTTACCAGATACCATTGAAGTTCAGCAAATCAAAAAAAAAAAAAAGCCCAGAGAGTCGCTAGGTGTTAAAAGCAACACCCCCAGCTAATACCCAGCTCCTGCAGGAACCAAGAGGGAGACAAAAAGAGCCAAGAGGTAACCTGAAGAACAAAAGGGGAAGGCCTCCTTTCGGGGGAGCAGGCACCCGTGCAAGTCAGCAGGCTGCTGCGTTCACCTGAGTGTCAGCGAACAATAAAAAGACCGATGCTGCTGCAGAGGCCAAAGGACGCTTTTCACGGGGCTTTTCTGCTAAGCTTCCTGTAGAAACTTCCAGTAGCCCTTTTCTAGAGTGCAGATCCCAAAGAGGAAGTGCCAGGAGCCAGATGAATGATATGGTGGCATTTCTTTAAGAGCTCCGAAGAAAAATAAAGGCAGCTGTTTGCCTCATAGACAAATTCAGAACTAGAATGAGAAGATAAGTTACATCTTTAAAGGGCTGGAGTGAGCCTGGAAAACAGGCCAGCAAGCCGCGCTTTCTTAAGGGTAGGGAAAATTATAAACTACAACCAAAAGCAGCTGGAAAAGTTCCAATCCCAAGAGAGGATTCCTATGCTGGTAAATCTCCTGTTCCTGGGGCACTTTGAGGCAGACAACCCCAGGGTGGGAGAGCGGAGGAGCGAGATGGATTTTCCTGGAACACTCAAAAGCCTTTGCACAGTCCCTCCCCGATGCTGAAAAGGAGCCCGAAGCCAGCGATAGGCAGGAACACTGCAGGGAACAGCAGCTCCTTGTACAGAGGAAAAGGCGTGAGCGCTGCTCTCGTTATTGCCCTCCTTGACCCCTGCACCCAGGACTCGGCCCCTCCGACCAGCACAGACCCCCGTCAGCGGGGACTCTGATTCAGTGCTTATGCTTTTGTAGTACAAGGCCCTTGCACAGCACCCTCCTAAAAATGACTCCACTGCCAGTATCAAAACAGAGGCAGAAAAGCCTCAGTGAAGGGCTACAAGATCAGAAATATGGGAAAGCTTTGCTCGGAGACACAAAAACAATTTGACTGCTGAGTTTTGAGAGAACATATACAAACAGCGGCATAGCAGATGTTATACGGTAATAAACAGTATGCAAGAGGCGGGTTGTTTGCTCTTTTCCTTAGAGGTCACAAGGACAAAGGAAACAAAGGCAGCAAACTTAAACAGAAGAAACAAAAATACATTTTAGTTGGAGATTTTAAAGACGGAATTCCCTGCTGCAACATACAGTTACGGTCAAAGGGTTTTCCTGAGTTACGAGCAGGATTATGCATGAACATCTATCTGCAGTAAGAACATCACTTTCAACTCTGTATTTACGTTGACATCAAGCTGTGGAAGGGCTAAGCCAGACGCCGGGGGGGCTTTGAGCAACCTGATCGAGTGAAAGATGTCCTGCCCAAGGCAGGGGGGTGCACTAAGTGACCTTTAGAGGTCCCGCCCGACCCAAACCCTTCTGTGATTCTAAGGAGGTTCAGCCCTTCCCTTGTCCTCTTCCAGCAAATTATCCCAGTTAACAGACACCAGTTCTCACTGTCCAACCCCCGCGCCGTTCCCAGGGAGGGAGTGAAGCTCTTCGCCAGCCACACAGACCCAACGCACTCGGGGCACAACCACCACCCAGCCTGGCTCGGGGAACTCCGAGTGTTCATGCACCTACTTTGCTGTCCAGACGCTGCAGGTAGGAACAGATGTACTCTATGCTTGCTCCAAAGGGGTGCACGTGAAGAAACGTTGAAATTATTCCTGGGGAAAGGAACACCACAAACATCACTCTCGCGAGACAACCGCCAGCTGAGAACACCAGCTCTCTGTTACTACTGGCACAGCACAGAGGGGTCTAACCGGGTGGTTTTGGTTTTAAGTACAGTGAGGCTTGGCTCGAAGGCTGCAGCGGCAATAACAGCTCACCAACGCAGCTGGTTAGTGCTTACAACAGACCCCACCACCCTCACTCCTTCCCAAGCACTGGTAACGTGCCCAGTGGTGAACCACACTGAGATTGTCATACCCGTGGGGATGCAAGGCCCCAGGAGAGGGAAAGCGGAGCTCTCCTCCAGCCGTACCTTCTAAAGGTCAAGGGGCAGGAAAAACCAGAAGGCAAAGGGGGAGAGCAGCAGTGGCGTGCGTGGCCCATCCCAACGGTTTTGCAGCACTCGGTTAAAAAGAGCAACCCAAGCTTGCACCTTGTCACAAAGAGACTCCTTTCCAGCTCATGGCCAGGACTGTTTATCAGAAAGACTGACTTGCATTTCTGACCATCATCTGCAGAAAAAGGCTGCGCCTTTGGTTTTCCCCTGACTCCCTTCTCTATCAATGCAGAAACCAGCCCACGACCTGGCACACACAGATCCCTCTGGACAACAGTAAGTGATTTACTGCTGTTCTCACATCAGATGTAGAGGGGTGGCTAAGGAGAACTTGGCTGAGGGACAATGAACTAAAAATGCCTTGTCCCAGCAAGACAAGGACTTCTGTTCCTCCTTTAAAGTGCTCCAGAAAAATCCCCAACTACCCAGTGTTTTGGGCTGAAAAGTCATAGCATGCCAGGTTAGGTCATTTTTCAGTATCACTAGGAATAGGCAAGGGGAAAGGCAATAAAAAGGGCAGCAGATATGCCCACGCTGTAAATCAGAGGTCACCAATCCCTTCGCGAGCATCACTTGAAAATGCTGGCAACATTTGCCATCCCATCGAGCCCGGCCTTCTCTCCCTGCCACCTTTCTCCACCCTTCCTCCCTCACCAGCTAAAGCTTCTGAAGCTGGAAGAGTGTGTCTGCTCGGGGTCCACAGCACACCACGTCTGAGCTACTGCTGTGCGGGCCCACAGATGTCACCCGCACCGTGAGGCGCTGCAACACTCAAGCTAATGGAAGTCTTGGAGCCTGTAAGGTCGATCAGGCTCTAACCGAATGAAGACAGACCCTCCTCTGTAACCTCCCACCTCCACTGCTGCCTCCCCGAGGAGCAGCTTGTGCTCCAGGACGTGCTGACCTGGACATTCACTGCGCACAAGCCCGCTTCACGCCTCTGTGGTTTTGACTGAAGGGTGCACAAGATTTCCACGAGCAATGCACAAGGTGAAACCCTGACCCCATCAAAGCTCGAGACCTTCCTTGGCTCCAGGGCTCCCACCTCCACCGGCATAACCAAAGGAAGAAGAGGTGGCCAGGGGGAGCTGTGAGGCCACCTTGAAGGAAGTCCCACTCAGTTCAGGTCTCCAGCGTCATCACCAAGCCCACCAGAAGAACTTACCCACTAGCAGAACTTCTCGTTCAGATTTCACAGGACTATGGCTCAACGTCTTCTCAACTGGACACTCCTTCTCCTGGCTGCATGCACAAACTCTCGATGTGCTGCTCTCCTGCAAAAAAAAACACCGAGCCCATTCCACGCGCCAGCAGCACAGCAGGCACTCCTACACATCAAGCAGCAGCTTGGTCAGACTCAGAGCCTGTATTTTTGTTTTCCTGTTTGTGAGTCACTGTATCCATCGCATTGCTGTATCTACTGTTTATTTTGTGAAATGCTTCCAACAAAGCACAGCTACGTTCATGCTGCTGTGTCTGAATTATCAAGTTAGATTAAAAGCCCGTGAAGTTCAGCAAGATGCTACAACACACACTTTGTCAGCCCTGTTCACTGGTTTGATATCTGCTTTAGAAGGACCTTGTTTTCAAGAATAAAAGAAAAAACAGACTAGAAAGCCTTGCAGTGCCTAATTCAGATGCAGATGTTTATTTTTCAGATGCCTAAACTGAGGCAATATGATTAACCAAGTGCTCAATGGCTGCAAAGGGTTTAGGATCAGACTGCCCTTGACTTGAGTTTGTGGCACTGAATTCAACCAGAATTCTGCATAATTTATTATCCTCGAAGTAAACACAAGACTGCCAGTGATGCAAAGACTCGGTGGGTGCACTGAAAGCAAGACTTTCTTTCATTCTTACGTTTTATGTGGAATTCCAGTGGTCTGAGAGCTGCAGACAGCTGTAACTGGAAATAGCCTCCAATCACTAGTGAAGTGGACTCGGGCCAGTAACAAAGACAGAATTAAATGGTCCCTTGGGTTTGCATAGCTTCTTACACCAGTGTAATTCTCCACCACACGGGACTGAAACTGTGCAGCCCTGGCCAAAGCAAGCTGGGATTTGCTTCCAGAGGAGAAAGCAAAGGCCTGCACTGTGGAAAGAGAGCTAGCCTCCTGCTGACACAGGGAGGGCGGCTCAGTCAGTAGCGTTACACTGGAAACGCACTGCCTGCTTCCTCTTGGAGACCCAGCAGATATTTTTGAAGGCCAGTTCAAATAACGGTGCAAATTATCCTGCACACCAAAGCCCATTTCTACAGCACAGTGTTGCAAATACCTACACTGTTCTTCCAGCCAGAAGCTGATAGCAGTGGATAATTTGATTATTTTGTACATAAAGACAGTCTGTATGTATCATGCTTATATACTTCACAACAAACCAAACTTTGAAAAATTGCTCATTTTACAATGAGGTATCATTGCTTCCCTCAGTAAGACATTCTGACTAAAGTAGCAAAAAAGAAACCCTTAGACTTACATTCCCTTGACAATCAATTGCATCTCTCTCCTTGTCCTCTTCGTCTGCTATGCTTTGCTATGTGTACATAAAGAAAAGGAAAGATTACTGATTATAATCTGTTATTTCTGTTCTTTGATATCAGGCACTGAAGCTCCTGCACTAAAGATTACTGGGATACAAAGACACTGTTGGTTACTAGAAAGACATTTATTATCTTCCCAGCTCACGGCACGAAAAGGTGGGGCTACAGCTTGAAAATCTGAGACAAGGCGTAGCATATGGCTCTGTGGTCCTCAGTGAGAAATGCTGCTTAATGCTTCTGGTCTATCCTGTAAAATTGTGTCTGTGCTACGGAGGAGAGGACCAAGCAGGTTTAGACTCAAACATGGGTCCACAATCAAAAGACAGAGTGGATCACACCCGAGAAGAAACAGTATGTATTTATGTTTAGAATAAATCCAGCAAGCATAAGAACATTGGAACACTGACAAAAACTTCCAATAAAGTTTTACAGAGGTCAGATCAAAACACGTCCCTAAAATCCAAATCTGAAAGTCAATGTTTGATAATTGAGACCCTTTTTTCGTATCTTTTAAAGCTCAGGTTGCAGAAAAACACCTTTCAGCTGCAACACCACTGCATACTATGAAATGAAAGTTAATCTTTTATTTATACAGTTGCTCATGTAGATTGTCTCACCGGTACATGAAGCAACCAGCAAGTTCATTACTTATATGCGTCCTCCAATTTGGCAGGTAATTTGTTCCAGCTTTCCAAAGACAAGCTTGCTCCTGAGCCAGGGCAAGGCACCTTCCACAAGAGCACAGAAGGACAGAGGCCTTTCACTGCGCTCATGGGGGACCCTGAAATCCAAGGGCTGCATTTGCTACTGAGAATAAGGAAGCACCGGAATGGCACGTACCTGCTCCTTCAGGTTTTCTAATAACGTTTCTATTTTTAGTTTGTCTTCTCTCACTTTTTCTAGCTCAGCTTCTCTCTTTTTGTATTCATCTTGTACTTTCAAAAGATGCTGGAAGAGAAGAGATGAACTCAGTTCTTAACCTGCCCTTCACCTCCTACTATTTAAAGAATATAAAATGAAAAGGGTTTTTCCATGAAGACCAGACAGATCATATTCAGAACAACTAAGAGGTTAAGTATACAACAAGAAGAAATCTCTTCTACAGTGTACCTTAGAAATGTCTCTGCCTATTAGCATACGAAAAAAGCAATGCAAGCTTGGGATTTGCCACTTCCCTGCTCACGCTGGTACCCAGGATCTCGCAGGGTTACGGAGGGGGTAAGTGTAGACTCAATACTTCAGAAGTCACAGTGCGGTCAAGCAAAGAGCACACAAGGAATCCATAAACTATGGATTGTTTCCATCAGTTCATACTGATCAAAAATCACTTTTTTGAGTGTTGGGTTGTTTGGGGTTTTTTTGGCAACACTGGAAGTGACAGTAAGTTGCTCCCATTTGCCAGTTTTGATCCCACTGAAAAAACAAAAATGCCTTTTCATGTTCCTGCTCCACATCACAGCCTCTTTGCCTTTGTAGCAAGGCCACAGCTATAGAAAAGCCCGGGCCCACCTTCTGCATCCCCTGCAGAGCCTGCTGCAGAAGCTTCATCTGCTGCTCCTTGGTCGTGTCTTCATCCCTGCTCGCTTTGCCCTGCTCCTGCTTCAGCAGCTCCACCTCGTTCCGGTAGGCATCCAGCTGCCAGCGCAGACTGTCGTTTTCTTCTTTCAGGGCTTCCACCTGGGATACCAGCGCTGCAGAACAAGGCAGGCAGGGATCAAAAGTCAAAGAACCAGGGGCAAGAAGTCCCTGAGTGCTCTCCCCCAGCACACAATGGCTCTGCAGCTCCCAACGCCCAGTTACAGATCCAGAGCACCACAGTGAATTTCTCCCAACCACTGTCTGCGACATCTCTTTAGAAAACAAGCTCCTCTGGACAAAGAGCACCTCTCAGTAGGGAATACAGTATTTAAATTGGAAGAAAAAAAAAAAAATAAAAGAAGTGCAATGACCATGCTGGCAAGGAAGGAGGTTTCCTAACCAGCAAAGCTGAAAGACTCTGGCAGAGGCTCCAGTGGCACCTTCAGCCAGAAGGATGTCTCCATCAAGTCACAGGATGAAACATCGGCATCAGTCTGGTGTCTGCAGAGGGCTTGGTAAATTCAGGAATGGGATTACCTAGGGCATGCCTGCAAAGACAGCTTCAGCAGGTTTCAAAACATACCCATGATGTGGAGGGCATGGACTGACATCCCACAGCCTTGCTAGCAACCCCTGGCACTCGGGCCATGGCCAGAGCCCGCGGAGGTACACCCGCCGGGGACGCGCACCCCGTGCTCGGGAGGCAGGGAAAACACACTGCGTGGGATGTGTGTTGGGCCCCTCTCTGCACAGCTGCAGATTTCAAAAGGAAGGGCAGCAGGCAAGATTTGGATCAAAACCTGCTTTCTCTGTATCAGAAAAACAAGGTGGAAATGAATTAACTCCATAAAATGGATCTGGACAAAAAAAAAAAAAAAAGGCAGTTAACAGGGTGAGCCCCTGCTCTTTATGAATGCAAAGAACTAACAGATTTTGCCTGGTCATTTGGCTGTCGGGTCTGTTCTCTGCTCTCAGTCACCCTCTGACCACACAGAGCCGGGCCAGGCAAGGAGATTCTCCAACCTCCTGGTGCAGCTGAAAGAGGCAGCCAAGCAGAGAGGGCTGTGCAGCGCCCGGGGCAGCCGAGGAACAGCGAGGGGGGAGGCGAGGGAAGCCTCCCAGTGACAGCCTGAAACAGTGGCCCTGGCATAGCCCGCGGCAGTGGGAAACGGACCTGAACATCACAGAAACACTCACGTCGCCACCAAGATCTGTGCCTGTTTGCCAGTGAAAGGCTCAGGAACAGCAGGAAAAAGCTGCAGCGTTTCTGAGACAGTGTGGTTGTCTCAGCAAGGCACCTTCTGAGACAGTGGAGGTGTCTGAACAAGCAGGTGTCCTGCTTGCTTCAGGAAAGGAAAAGACTAGATGTTTTTAGCAGAAATGTTTGGAGAGATGGGCCCTTCTCAGTTTCCTTAGGCAGATGACAGCTTAGGGACAAACGACATTGCTTAGGACAAAAGCGAGGACCTGGCTACTTTTCTTCAGATGATTTAAAGCAAAGCATGATGAGCACGTCAGAGCGTTTAAAGTCTGGTAAAACAGACCATGGAAAAATTGTGCTTAGGTGGGGCCGGGGGTTGGTGGCAAGAGGGCACCGGGAAAATGCTCTGGAGGCATCGACAATTGAATTCAGCTTGAACAGAAAGGTCGCTGTGGCAGGTTCATCCCAGGTTATCATCCACAGAGAACAAACCAGCAGCAACCTCCATCTCTCTACCTGCGCTGGCAGCACGTGAGGAAGAGCAGTCGGAAGCAGCCCGGGAGCAGCTCACCGCCTGCGGCACACGGCTCCGCCAGCCCCCGTCACCCCGCGGGGACGGCACTGTCCTCAGCACCACCTGAGCAGGCACAGCCAGCGCTGTCCACTGATGCCCTAGAGACCAGATTCAAGCCTCTTAAGAAATGAGAGCAGGAATGGAGAGCTGATGGGACAGTGAATAAATGCAAACAATTCAGGGGGGTACGGAGTGGAGAGACAAAAGATCCTAACGGGTACAACAAGGCAGGCACCGAGAGGAAAACAACTCCAGATAACTGCAGTGGATTTTGCTCTGCCTGTGACAATTTTGGGGTACAAAACAGTCTGAATGGGGCTCCTGACAGAAACCACTGACAAGATGAGTACTTTGTTTATAAGATGTGAAAAGTAATTTTACCTGATTCTTCTGTTTCTTTCATCTCTGATGGATCTTCTATTTCTTCGTCAGACATTTCCATTTCCTCCTCTCTTCGAATACCCATTAGTTCATCATTATGAATGTTACGAATTTCCTAAGGTTCAGAAAGTAGAGGGGGTTTTTAAATACAGATTACCAGGAACGGATTGGTTGGATAAAAAGATGCTGAAATCTAAGTCTGCAAGATGCAACTCCAAGATACAAGAAAGGGGAAACGATAAAAAGAAGTTTGGCACAGGCTATCAGATCAAGGACAATACCTAGCGTGAGTCAAACTGTCAGCGCTCCTGGTGTCACTGACTCTTCCACCTCCCCCTTTTACTCTTCGCCCCAGGGCAGGCACCTCGCCTTGCCCGCAGCGTAGTTTCTCGGTGAACCCTCTCCCCTTATCTGCCCCCCCTCGACCTCCACACGCCTCCCCTACGTTCAGCAGCCAGTAACTCCCAGCGGGGCTGCCCCCCTGCCCCGCAGCCCCACGGCTCCCACCCCACACTCTCCCGCTTGGTGCCGGATGCAACCCCCTGCAACCCCCTCGGAGGGTTCCTCGGTACCTCGGTACCTCGGTTCCGCCCTCGCCGACAAGCGCTGCTGCCCGGGGTCAGCCCTGCCGCGCACGCTGCTCTCCCTGGCCCGGCCCCATCTCCTCGGGAGCCAACAGCACCCGCCTGAGCCGGGACTAAGACCAAACCAGAACCGCTGCAGCTGCCCATGCACCAAAGGAGCTTTCACCTTGCTCGACACTACAACTATCCGCAGCCCTGCCGGGCTCCGCCGCGCGCGCGGCAGCGATCGCCCTTGGGCAGGGACGCCTCTCGAGGCTGCCCCTCAGGCTGAGAGAGCCTTCACGTGGCACCCGCTGCCTATAACAGGGTAGGAGACACTTTACACGACACCTAAAAGCATATTGCATGCTAGCAACATATATATAAACATATATATCTCCGGCTATAGCCTAATTATTAGAAGTGTACTTAGTACAGTGTTCAACCCCTGTCTAATCACTGTCAAATCACTGTTTAATTACCAATCACTTATTGCTTAATCACCATTCGATTACCATTTAATCATCAATTAATTATAATTTGATCGTAGTTTAATCATCAAGAAAACCCTTTTAGTTAACCCAAGGACGTTTTCTCTCAGTAATTCACCTGTGACAGCAGCTCCGCCGGCCACGTCCCCCCTGGTTGTTCCCTGCCATCTCTTTCTCCTGGCACACAACACACCCCGCACCCTCCCAGCCCTGGCCCCCACAATTCCCTCCTCGCCCCACACCTCTCGCCCCGCTGCAGCACGACCGTACCGGTGACGCGCAGCGCTGCCCACTCCGTGCCTCCTCCGTGCAGCTGCATGGCTGCAACAACAAAACCTACCTGAGACAGAGGCCGGGCCACTGAGAAGCCGGAAGGGCAAGTACACAGAGAGTGGCCAGTGAATGCCCACCCGCCTCCTGACCCTTCCCCAACTCTGAAGCTTCTCTCCTGCCGTGCCCACCACCGGCGCTCAGCCTGCACCGCGGTGCCTCTCCCTCCAGCTGCCCGGACCCTCCCCGCTCTGTCACAGTCCTGGTCCACGTTACGGGGTAGAAAGGAGCAGAGATGCCACCTCCTACGCTGGTCCCTGAGCCACCCCAGCTCCTGCTTGTGCGTGTCCTCTCTGCTCCATTCACCTTGTCCGGGCAGAGCCGGCCAACCCCACCCGCTGCTCCCACCGGGCAGACGGAGACACAGACACACGTCAGCCCGTCGGCACAGCAAGGGAAGAACGCCTAGCTCAGGCTCCCCATCCCCTCTGCAGAGCAGGACAGGCAGCACTCGCAAAACAGCAGTCAGTTGTTATCCAAGGAGATGGAGATGTCAACAGTACTTACTAGAGGCTAACACAGGCGGCCAAGCGTCCCTATCCGATGCCAATTTATCACAACTTTACTTGGATTATACGCCCCAGAAACAGCCATAGGAGAAAAGATACAGAAGATTTACTCATGAAATAAAAGTAACGTCCAGCTCTTTGTAGATTTTACTCTAATGGCCTGAAGCTTTCAAAAACTCTGCTTGCCAGCACCCAGCACACGTCCACCAAGAGCAGGCAACAGGGAGAGCGAGCACGCTTTCAGCTTGGATGAACGGGCCCCCTGGGGACAGCAACGGGGAAAGGGCAAGAACAAGGCAGATCCCAGCGCAATGGGCAGCGCTGGCCACAGCTCCAAAGCAACTGCTGCCTGCCCTAGGGACCACCCATAAAACGAGCTGAGGATCAGAGAAAAATCCTCCCGTCGCCTTTAAGTGACTCTGCTCAACAGCTGAAAGCCCGAAGCAGCCTCGAAGCTGGAAAAGGCGGCGCAGAGCCCAGCACGCAGCGGGGCCCGGCCAGGCTACACCATGGCTCACTGTGCCCAAGGACAGCCCTGGATGGGAGAGGAAAAAGCATCCCAGAAGCCAAATACTTGAGTCAGGCCCTTCCTAAGCAAGGGAATACGCTGGCTGGTAGCTACCCTAGCAGGGTGGTTCACCAGGTCTCAAGTTTCCGTGGCTTTTTAACGAGCTGCCTGCAGCTACAGGATTTGTCAGCACTGCCTGGGAAAACCACCTTCAGTCACCACTGATAAAAATAAAATCCTGGCCAAGCCTAATGCCTCCCCAGCAAATACCCATTCCTTGAGCTGCCCCCCAGGCTTTCCTCCGGTGCGGTGACCCTCAGGATTAAATTCTGCCAAAAGCTGTACCAAGAAGATGCCTCTTGTGGGTCCACCTTCCTTTAAGAGAAGACCTTAAGCTGGGAGAGACCAGCAGGCTGAGCAAGTACTCCTGGAAGAGGCCTCACCAGGGGTATCACAGCCTCTTCCCACTGGGAGAACTTACCTTGGAACAAAAGACAGCTCCAAACGGAGAGAGTGCTCCCACCCCAAGCACAGCAAGCAATCTCAGTAAGCAGGAAAGAACAGGAGCACTAAGGCTCAAAGGAGAGGCATCGTCTGAATCGGACTCTCCACCTGGCTTATCAGGTGTAAAATGAAACGCTAGCTCCTCCTGTAGCTACTGCAAAAGGTTTGACTCGGTGGGATTTGGAAAGAAAGTCCCAGAAGTGCAGCCTCATGGGGAGATCACAGCTGGAAACTTCCCAGGAAAACACGGTCATTTAGAGTTTCCCAGCCCTGGCTGCGACAATCCCATGTGTTCCACAGAAACTAACATCCCTCAGAGTAACAGGTTTCTTTTTAGGCACTCATCATTACGGGTTCACCTGAAAATGATGGCATTTTAACACAGTTACACTAACAACCCAGACTAATATTTTCAGAGGCGGTTTAAGCAAACCGGTCCTGTTTCACACTGGGACAAGACCAGGAGGATCCACGCGGGTCTGAGTCGCAGTGCCTGAGGAAATGGTGAGAACTTACAAAAGACCCCTGGAGCTATGGCCTTGGTGTTCTCGCAGAGTCACAGCTACCTAATGGAATCATTTAGCACTGTCATCTTCCCAATACCAATGTATTGGAAATGGAATATTTTAAAACATTTGGGCGCCATTTCTTCTGCCCTGTTCCCAACATTGTCAGGGAAGAAGCGATGATGGAAATAATTTCTTCCAGATGCACCAGAATACCCCAGGTGGCACCGAGGTGCTGCGCAGGCAACTTCAGTACCATCTCGCCTGCAAATCCCTACCAGAAACGCGTGTAGTGCCTGACGGACTGGCAGGCTGCAGGGATCTGCGGGGGATGGATGTGCTCTCCGGGGCTCTGCTTGTGAGACAGACATCTGGATATTGCAGAAGAGGGATTTGAGGAGCCAAGCAGGATTTCAGTACTGTACTGAAGGAGTAACTGAACAAGATGCTGTGGTTGAAAGCTAACCTTGCTCTTTATTCGCTGCTCTAAGGCTTGCATATTAGAGTCCTTTTTCTTAGGAATAAACAAGCACTGCAACATACACTTATTCTTTTTCCACTGCCTTCGTCTGAGTGGGTGTCAGGAAGCATCTCCAGGCTTCCAGCTCTACCTAATCTACACAGGCAGACCCAGGCACACTGCTGTAATGGTTTGGGGCCAGAAGCACCGAGCACGATCCACAGCTGGGAGCCAAAAAAATGGTCTTCCAGAGAATTACTGAGCAGCATTAGGCAAATACTTGCTCAGTCGGTGCCTCCCGTTTCCCCATCTCAAGAGGGCTCATTCACCACTGGCTGCACAGGGCTCTGGAAAGCCACACGATGAGGTCTAGCAAGCAGTAGCCTTTGCTTTCCAAGCAAGGGAACCAAAACAAAAATAAAAATCCCAAGCTGTCAGGCAGAGTAGGATTTCTTGCCCAAACCTGACTAATCGGCAGCACGTGCAGACAAGACACATCTGTCACGGGAACACTTAGACAACGGGGCCAGACACCCGCCTGCTTTCCAGCCCCTCGGCCACAGCTGCCATCTCACACATCCAGACTGATATTCCCAGCGTGGCTTTGCTGAACACCGGCAACCCATGGGGCTGGAAAACTTAAGGTTATGCTGAGATGAGAAAGCATCTGCTTTGCCTTACTTCTGACACATAAATGACAGGGTCAGCTCCAGACTCTCAGCGCTTCTGCAGTGAATAAAGACTATTTCCAAGCACAGCAGTGTCTCCCTGGACTAGGATAAAAGGCAGGTATTTTTCATAGCAGTTCTTTTCTACACTTCAGATCTGGGTCCTACTACTTCAAAGAAGTCTTTATTGGCAGCAGTAAAAACTGATTCAAGCTCCAACCTACTTTAAAGGCTTCACGAGCAAGAAAAATACAACTTCTTACTCTTTCCTTCAAAACTGCTCATACCCCATGGTGACAGTACTTCTGTTACCACTTGGAGCATTAACCTCTCTAGGGAAGGGGCGTGGAAGTGAGACTCCAGGGGAGACAAGCTCTGACTAGGAGACCCACCACGGGGCTCTTCTGGCACTCGTGGCAGCCCTCCACGTTCCCAGGAGCACAGCTATCTCCTCCCCTCTTCCTCAGGCCAGACAAACATCGAAATGGGCTCCACTGCCAGATGCAGCCAAGCAGCGACATCCCGACTATGCAGGTGACAGAAGGCAGCACGTATTTCATCACAGACTCCAGGACCAACATCTCCCAAACCCATCGCTTTCCCAAGAGACAGCCTTTCTTTACCTTAGCTTTATTTTTTCTGACATTGTGCCTGACTCCAGTAAGCTTTGATAAGATCAGATAAGGGACTGAGAACACTCTTCCTCCTCTTGCAGGAAGAGCAGTGTGAGTGACATGCCTTCTTCCATCAACCCCATCCTTGTCACCGCCTTTAAATCCTGTATTTCACTAGCAGTGTCACTGAATGAGATAAATACACAAATATGAGAACATCCTCCCTCAAGCTTTCCAAACTGTCCAGCTGCAATTATTTCTACCTCTAAAGTCTGTCAATAAAAATGGGATGAAACAGATCTCTGATGACGTTTACGATTTGCTGGGTGGTTTTTTTTTTTTAACATTTCTCTAGCGATCCCTCTTGCTTTAGCATTAAAAACAGCAGAAAACAGATCAGTAATTGTTATCATTGTGCACAACTTCAATCAGCATGCAGATCTCAATGTATTGCTACTAGTAACACAAGTACAAAGAGAAAATTTATTACCTGTAACACAAGAGACGACTGAGTAATTCCCATCTTACACTGTGAATTAAGATCTTGTTATCCATGCGAGCATTGTGCAAACTTAACATCAATATCCTGACAAGAAAGAGACTGTGCTGGAGGATCTAACACAATAAAAAATTACCAACCTCTGCTTGTTTGCACCACACGCTGATGTTCTTACGCTGAGCTTTCGTGAAATGGTCCCAAGCCTTTTGTTTGGAGGCAGAATGGTACACGGCCACTATCTGCTCGACTGTAGTATCAAATCAGCAGTCAAATCAGGCCAGAATATCATCCAGAGAGGGCGAACAAGAGGAGTAAAGGAGTAAAAAAGTGGAATCAGGCAGGTGGTTTGGCTAACCTTTTCTTATAACACTGTACTGTGCTGAAGCTATGCTCAGGAAAGGGACTCTGTGCCTGGAAGGAAAAGCATGGACTTCACCAGGCCCGTGTCAAGTGCTCACAGGGCAACGATCAGCTGGGAAAATGGCATCTGCTCTCCACTGGAAAAAAGGCAGGCACACGTCGCGCTGAAAAACATTCCGATACGCTGCACAGCGCTGCCTGGGAGTGTAACAAGCACAGCAAGGTAGCGCGCGCGCTCTCGAACGGGACGATAAAGTCCAACTGTGAAAGCTGGGCTTGGGATGCTCTTCTGCCCAGTGGTGCAGTCCCAAAGAAGAGTGCCACAGCTGGAGCACGACCGCATCCCGCCCGTGCGTACCACGGAGAAAGGCTTCTGCCATCAGCCAACACCTTGCTCGGTTCTGGAGATTTATTCCTTCTATTTCTCCAGAAAATTGGCAGAGGTTTTTGGAAATACAAAGTGCTTCTCCTTGGATGAGAGCTCACCCAACAGCAGAAAACATACCTTCCTGATTTTTTTTTGTTTGTGTTTTGTTTCTGGTTTTGGTTTTTGTTTTTGTTTTGGTTTTTTTTAACACTTTTGATGTTGTAGTAGGCATAATTCTTACAAAATAAAACCAGCTCTCTGCTACTTTGATTAACCCAAGAGTGCCTGAGATATCAGTGGGAGTTTTACAGAGTGGAGTCGCATGCTACTGTCCATTACTACTTACTCTGCAGTGCTTAATGTATTTCTCTCTGGACCGTGTGCCTGTATTTTTTTACCGTGAACAGAATTTAAAAAAAAAAAAAAAAAGTAAAATCAAGTATCAAACAAGTAACAGCCAAAATTACTGAATATAAAACCAGAAATTAAAAGTGTTCACAACCCAGCAAGGGGCTCAAGGAGATTTAGTACAATTGTGGAGAAGGTACTCTGAAAGGTACTCAAAAAAAAGGAAAACAAAAATTCAGACTTACTAAAGAAAAGCTGTGTAATAGGCAATGAACGGTTTGAGGAACTGTTATAAACCACATCTTGGAACTAATATAGCCCATGCCTCTTCCTTGATTTCATGGTTTAAAAGTACCAGGATTTGAAAGACCCAGGTTGAAATGCTGTTCTGCAACAGGTTTTCAGTTGTGACTGAGAACAGCGTGCTGGAAACACTCTGCTGCATCCTACCTTTGGCGAGTAAATCCTGTACACTTCGCTGAGGCACCAGATTACCAGGAACTTACCTTGTCTGTGCAGAGAAGTGGAGTCGAAAAGATGACAGAACTACTAATAGACTATAATTAAAAGAGGAAAAAAATTAAGAATTCATTCTCTCCTCCCCCCAGATGTGGACTCTCACTCCAATAAAAAGTACCAGCAGAAACTTTTGCCAAGTTAATGACATATGCTCATAAATTAACTGTAGCTGCACAGAAGCGGTTGCTACTTCTTTTCCTGGAGCCCTTTCAGCGTGGCCTCTCCAGACTCTAGAAATCAAGTGTCTTCCCTACAGCAGCAGACAACCAACATTCAGCACGGAAACACTACTCACACTGAACCAGAATCCCTGAGAGAGCAAGTTTGAATTTCTCTTTAGCCTCTTCCATCTCTTTCTCATGAGCTGCTTTCTCGTTCACCAGTCTGCGAATGTGGCTGTTGGCCGACTGGATCATGGAGTAGAAGTTGTTGGCAGTCCTCCTGTTCACTTCTCCACGCTCTATCCAGGTCAGCAAGGTCTGGATGGCTTCCAGGAACTTTGTGTCATCTGCAGCAAGGACAGACACCTTTACACCACAGAAGTACAGGGTCACCTGCGCAGCTTCCAGATCCCTTCCCTGGCAGTGCTGACCCGCTCTCTTTCAAAGGTCAGCTTACTCCAGGTGGCTAACCACAATTCTTGAAAGCACGGTATTATCTGGATACAAGGCTGTACAAAGGAAGGCAAGTCTAACGCCAAGCTGATGGAGCAAACCATCTGTTGAGGTGTAACAAGAGGAGGACCAACTGCTAGGAACCGACTGAAAAACGTCATATCCCTGTTGAGATGTACTCTTCATGAAAGAAAATATCCTCCAGCTCCAAAACAATCAGGCCACGCATAGGTCTTAGGCTTCAAAGAAGGTCTTAGGACTTACACTAGTCCTTTCAACATGAGCAAGAACGGTTTGAAAGAAACAGTTATACTCAAGTAGGGGTTTGTTTTTACACAAAAGACAAACAATTCCAAAAAAGAGACAGCTAGGAGAGGTGCTGGGTGGAGGCCGAGGGCTCAGTCTGAATGGGTGTAGATGGCACCATCACTCCAGTTCAGCAAGACGACCACTGGAGAATACCAACCTGTGTCCCCGTGTCCCCACAGAAGGGTGGCCGTGGCCCGCAGAACCACTTACCTTTCAGTTTCTCAGCGACAACGCTGCACTCGTGGTCGGAGTAATGGACGACGGGAGGCGGGGAGGGCGGGCGGAAGCGCTCCTCTTCCAGCCTCCTGCGATGGCGCTCCTCTCTCGCCAGCATCCGCTGCTTGCACTCCCACTCGTACAGATCATCCCGAGCCTGAGCAAAATCCACGTGCAGGCGCCCAGTATCCTTCTTGTCAGTGCTGGAGCCCAGCCTGATGCGGTAGCCTGGCAGAGAGGACAACAGTGTTCAGAGACAGGCGACTCTCCCTGGGCCCCAACCACCCGCCAGTGCCCGCCTCCCATTCCCACAGAGCCAGAAAGCCCCAGAACAGAAACTCTCTTTACGGAAGAGTTTAGTGCACAGAGAGTGGTGCTGGAAAAGCAAACACTGTTAGGGGGTTTGCTGCTATCTGCCTGTGTTGTGCACGTGCTAGGTAAGATCTTACACAGGCTGCTCCTCCTCTAAACACCAGCAGGTACCGGGTCTCAAATAGCAACCGTTTAATTGCACATAACCCCTCAGGATGTGGGACTAAGCCCAGCTGTTCACGTGGGCAAGGCAGAGCTGCCTTGGATTCTTCCACACTTGCACAAACTCCGGAAGTTGGGGATGGGAAGGGGGGAAGGAGATGTGAGACACGGCAAAGAGGGGAGCAGACGGATGGTGGTAACCTTTGGAACAGCCCCCATCATCTGGTGGGAGCGGGACTGAGGTCAGCGAATGTGCACGTCCGCTGTGTGGGAGCTGTTCTCACCAGCACGGTTTGCAGGACTCCTTCTCTGGAGTTGCACCTCAAACATGCGAGAAGGCTCTCCTCTGTGATTAAGAAAAGCAGAGGTGGGATGTAGGGAAGAAAATCTGAACTACAGAGAGGCTTTGTACAAAGAACAAACCCAGACTCAACGCTTGCATGTGGAGGGCACCGATGACTGCGCCCATGGCCACGGCTTTGAGCAGGAGAACCTACAAGCAGGGAATGCCTGCAGCTCAAGAGGCTGTACTGGCTACGTAGAAGGGGTAACCACAAAGAGGCACAGCTCTTACTAACAGGGCATTGCAAGTCTAACTCGATTCAACAGTCTCTGGACTGAGACGCAGTGCTCACAATCAGTCAAAACAGACTACAGAAAAGTTTCCATTATTTTAAACAGCAGAGAGCATTTCCCTCACTTATCTTGACAATCTCATCTCTCTGGAAAGAGCACAGGCTTTGGAGGCAGTACCTTGGTTTGTTAAGATACTGAAAGAATTAATTTGGAAGGGATTTTAGCACGGAAATAGAAAGTATTACTGTATGTTTTCTAGAATGGTAAAGAGTCAGGTGGAGAGCCCAGGCTGCGGAGGGCAGATGTCACCAGCACAGCAAACACGGGCCTGGCTGGGAACGCACAGTCTGCCAGCCCCACCGAGGCTGCGCGCACCAACCGCGAGGTCTCTGTCCTCCATGAGACAAACCTCCCCAAACCCTACGGATGCAGAACTGGGGCTCCCGAGGCGAAAGGAGCCCAGCTCTGAAACTAACAGGGGAAAAAAAAGTATTGACGGAAGTCAAGCACACCACCCAATTAACAAGCAATTGAGAGCAACCGCAAATTTTTATAGGGCCCTGAAGCATTATCCACGGAATTGGCTGGACATTATCCAGGTAAGATGGGGATGGACCCTGATTGTAGCTCATCCCAATATTCGGCAGAGGCTTGCAGTACCCAAGGTAACAAAGCATGACTATCTTTCCTATCAGGAGCTGTTTTCATGTATGTAAGCAGAAATGCAATAGCAGCAGAAAAAGAGGTGAACTGACACAACATTAGAAAAGTCTCCCAGTTGCGACACAGCCTGTCATTATAACTATAAAGCCATCATTGTGTCTCCATCGCAGGATTTTAAGCTGCCACCTGAGACAGAAACACACCTACCAGAAAGATAAAGCGCCTTGTCCACCATGAACTCCTCAGCAAAGCGGATGTGACAGAAGTTCTTCTTACTCTTTCGAATAGCAATGACTTCTCCACACTGCTCGAACACTTCCATAATGATCTGCTCGGTCCCGTTTTCCGGCAGCCCTCCAACAAACACCGTCTTACACCCTGGGGGCCTCTCCCTTGTCGCTGGAGGGGGTAGATCTGAAGAGAGCAAGAGCGAGAGAGCAGACCAGGTTAGTTTTTGGGTTGTCAGCACACATTCCTTTCATCTGCCCACCTCTCCCGAGAGACAACCGTCCCTTCCCAGCTTCCTTCGAGCGGACACCTAGCTACGCCGCATTCGACTTGACCAGGCAGTAGATCTACAGAACTGCTGAGGTGCTATACGAGATCAAGCCCATTTGCCAGCCTGTTTCCAAACAAAAGGTCTCAGGAGCCTGAAGCCCTCCAAACACTCTCCCTAGCTCAAGCAAAGGCTCACTGAGCTCTTGCTGTAGAACACGAGCAGCACCAGGAACTCAAAACTTTATCACGGGAGGCACAACACAAGCATGGCTTAAAGGACTGTGCTAGTGTAAAGAATATGTAGAAGACGTATGCAGGGGATTCTAAAGGGTAAAAAATGATACAGCAGTCTGTAAAAGGTCCAAGAGTATTAAAATTAAGGGAAGGCCATGAATCAAATCTAGACTAAGAAGATATTACAGAAGGAAGAGATGAAATCCTGGTGGGAGTTCAGTTGACATCGCGTGCACAGGCCTTGGGCTGAAAAACCACTGTGAGCGTGGCTGGAAGAAATCTGGGAGGAACAGGGACCCTGAAAGCAGTGTCTGAGCGTTTCTGTGACAGTTACTTGCTTGCCAGCATGAAGAGATGCACTATTTCATTACGTGTTCGGAGGCCAGGAAGGCACTAACAATCCATCTTCCTTCTAACACAGTGCTCAAAATTCTTCAACTGGCTTGTCAACAAATATTGAATTAAAAAAAAAACAACCAACCAAACAAAAAAAAAACAATGCAAAAAAAAAAAAAACTCACAACCCCCCCAAAAAAACACCAACCCAAAACTGCTTCCAGGACAGTGAGACAGATTGTCTTCTGGGGATGGTGAACTAAGAGAAATCATCAGACTGGGCGTTGCAGGAGTTTTATTTAAAATGCTGGGCACAGGAGCACCACGGGCTCCCACTGCTGGGGGCCCACCAGGCTCGGGTGCCATCTGCTGGCATCTTCTTATGAGTTATATATAGCCACGCAGTTACAAACATCTCCCACAACTTCTCTGTGCAATCAAAGCCTCTTGCTGCCAGTGAAGAGCACTGCTTCTGAATTAACTCCTTGGTTTTCCACTGGTAGGTTCAAGACTGTGCCATGCTGACCCAGACCCACAGACTTCTGCAGGGCCACAGCGCCGCGGCCGGGCTGGGCTGGGCAGGCACTGCGGGGAGAAGCGTGCCCGAGGCTGCGCTTACGCTCTTACCTTCCCCAGTTTGTAATTTCTGCCCATTTTATACTTGAGAATTTATCGCTAATGCTTTACGGGGTGGAATGCTTCTCACCCTCTGCTCAGCTGGCAGTAAGCACAGCTCATGGGATCTGACTCCTCCTCTGAAAATAACAAACCAAGCAAAATTTGCAGGCAGTACTCTGCACAGCGGTCTCAGAAACACCAAGGCCAGGGGAGTGCTTACTGCCAAGCTGCTTGCACTAACCTGCTGCCAGCAGGCTCTGCCATATGCTGTGACCCGGTGCAGAGAGCAGAAGAGGGAACCGTGACCCTGTGCAGCTCCTGCTGATCCCAGTAAGCACGAACCAAGTCAGGGGAGCCCTGCTCCATTCTCCAGCGGACAAACAGGCCATTAAAAGCTGTTAACTCATTTCCCAAGTCTGCTCACAAGTATCCTGTGGTGAGAAACCCAGTCTCATGACAAGCACAGTGAGGCAGATGTGTTAGTGGGTGTTGAGCATCTTTTTTATTTTCTTCATATAGAAAACTGAGACTTGGCCTCTCCCCCTGTACCAGCACCTCCCTCTTCTCACATCAGTCAGACAAGGGGAGTGATGGAGAAAGCAAGATGAGCCCACGCCACACTGCTAACACTGTACTAGAGCTGCGGCCTCAGTTCCCACTAAGTTGGCTACGAAACCAGTTCCTGCTGCTTGAGGACATCAACTTTGCAGACATGATCTTTGCCGACAGCATGTACAGGCTCCTGCAAGCCTGTACATTACTAAATCTTGGGTTTGGCAAGAATTAAGTCCTTGTCCCACCTTCAAAAGCCTCCCGCTGCCACTGGCCTGCTCAGAGTAGCAACACAGCACTAGAGTGCCACAGCCCAACGCCCTGCTCTAAGGATAACATGTTGGGTCACGGGCCCTTTGGTTTTCCGAGTCAAACACAACTACTTACTGTAGTGCAGACGCTCATGTAACAAGGAGCAAGGCCCCAGCTAGTCTGGAGATCACAGCAAAATAAACTGTCCCCATGGAATTCATGTGTTCTTCTCACAGGGGAGGGAGACTTGATCCCTGTTGCAGTTAATATGGTTCCAGGGTTAAGGCACGTGTTTGCCTAACGTGCCCTCCACAAGCACAGCCCTGTCCTGCTAGCCTCCCAGGGGGACAACACGGAACGTACCAAACCTTGCCCCACGCAGAAAAGGATTGTGAAGGTCCCTCCTAAATCTGTCAAGCACGAAGAGCCAGGGAAGCCCAGCTGGTCAGCCCTGGCAGCACTGCTCATGCGTGACGTGGACCCAACACCAAACTTGTGGCAAGCTGCGTTTTACCCACGCTGAGAGCAGCTTGGACAGAGCAGCTTGGGCAGTTCATGTTTTTCATGATACGTACTTCAGAGGTAAGCATCTTAAAGTCCACAAGTAGGAAAGCAAGCTAAACAAGAGAAATGTTAATTAAGGAAGCTTGAAGAAGCAGGAGGAAAGTTGTCTACTCAATTACGGTATCTTCCCTCATGCAATATCTGACTCAGCAGAGGAAAAACTGCTGAGCATAGGGGACTGCATCCTAGGCCACAGAAAGAGAGGTCACCAGAATACGGGGTTAAGAGACAGAACTGCATTTCATTTTGACATAAAGGTGTGCTCTGAAGCTGCTTTCCGACAAAGACTCTAAGCCCACTCTCCCCAAAGCAGTGTCAGGTCTCACAGTGATATCTGTTAAAATACTGAGAAACTTCAGGCTACAGCCTGGCTGGCTGCTGGAATAAAAATTCTGATCAGCATTAAGGGAGAGCAGATTGTCTCACGGCCACAACAGTTTGTTAATAATTACCAGAGTGGGAACAGGCTTCACACCATCATTTAGCAAATCAACTAAACTCTGCACCGCAACTGCACACACTTCAGACTTACCTGCTCAAGCTATACCCACACACACTGATCCATAGGACCTATGAAAATCATGTCCATGTACATATCTGTGTAATTTAGGCTACACCTGAGACAGCTGTCTAGGTTTCTTTTATGGCTAGGGGATGAAAACAGGCTCCTTCGTTGGGCAAGCTCCAAATGAAGTAAGGCAAGGGTATGTGCAGGAAGGACTGAAATCAGTGGTACAGCTTTGTAGTTTGGTTGTGAGATAGTGAAAAAAGAATACTCTGGAAAAAATCAGAAATTACTTGGACCACAGAGTGCTTCAGGAGAAGATCTGAATAACACTAGAAATTTTCTAATATTTTTTAATATTCTAAAAAGACATCATGCTACACAGAGCTCTGTGACTACGACATCAAGTTTCTCAGATAAAAGCTGAACAACAAATGTATTGATAACAATATTGCAAATGACAAGTCAATACATTTCACCAGTTAGTTCTTTAAATCCATGGGGCAGTCATTTTTAAGTATTAAGGATGTCAGAGAACAGCTAGTGCTAAAAAAAAAAAAAAAATAATCTGGATGAAGCAACCACAAGCTGATCCACTTTAATTGAAATGAAAAGCTAAAAAAAGCAATGTCTTTGCTGCAGGCTTCGTAACTAAAGAGGCTTTTATTTCATGGCAGCAACGTTAAGAAATTAAAGGAACTGGTCTGAAAAGTTCTAAGGACTTGAATGTGATTCAAAGCTTCCAATAAATAAACTGGAACCTGTAGGTCAACAAAAGAAAGGAAGAAAAAAAGCCTTGCCCTGCAAGCCCAACTGGATGAGTAATCACTCCAAAACAGACTTCAGAAATACACATAAGGAGTCTGCAAGGAACGGGAAAGGAATTGATTAATATATAAATGTACAAGTTTGAAGCAGAAAGAGTGAGGGCAAAGTAAGATTAGCCCCGCCTAAAAGTAATCAAGACAATCTAGAACCTTTTGGTGGAAATTAATACAAGTACCAAGAAGTCCCTCAGCCAGAAAAATCCCAAACACTAAAACAAAGACTGGAACAGGCCGAATGCTATGTAACCAATAAATGTCTGTTCTAACAGCAATGGCTAAAGATATCCTCCAGAGCCAAGAAATGAGATCTTCTGCTTATCCCTATCACGTCTACATTTTGTTGGCTATTTCATCTCCTGCACCTTTCCCTGCACAAGCCCAGCCGACTGACAGGTAACGCTGTTTTTTCCTCCTCTCTGGTTTTTATTACAAGAGAGGAGAAAGGGTCAGTCAGCTAGTTTGAAGGGGATCCCTGTTTCTTGCTATAGCCTGGTGAGCCCTGCCTGTTTCTTAGAGTTTTCTGTTTTATTTCCAACTGCCTCTGCTCTCTCTCCACCACATTCTGCAAAACCCAGAGCACTCTCAGCTCTCAGCACAGCCCACGCTGGCTGATCCAGCTCCCTTACCTCCACGAGCTCGTTGTCCTTGAAGCCTTAGATAATACATGCAAAAACCACACCATGAAGATTTGAGTTCAAATAGCCAGGGACTGGAATGCTTTCTTCCCCAGTCCTTAACAATATAACAACTGAAAAGGCTGTTTACAGAAATGGCAAACATTCAGCGACAAGAACAGGCTTTTCCTATTGCTGTCACCTGTTTGCCAGCCCCTAGTCACAGAGTGAGTCTGACTCACCCCAGAGCTGCTACGTCCGGGCAATGTAATGGCTCTTCTCTTGTATACACTTTTTAAAAAAAATATATATACACACACAGATGTATTGCTATATAGGCAGACAGAAAGACAAAAGAATAATAGGCAGTTACGTGGGTTGGGTGGGAAGAGAGTGCAGCTTTTGCAGTGGATGATCTCCTTCACAGCAGGCATGTCCGGAGGGATGGGAGGTGGGACTATCCCCAAGCCTGGCATCATGGGGTTGATCGGAGGGATTCCAGTCATCATCCCAAGAGCAGGATCAAAATCTAAGGGGGGGGAGAGAAAAAGGGAGTCAGGTAGCGGTTTGGGCTCATACAGTAACTGTTTATTCAGACAGCAAATGGAGCGCTCTCCCCACCTGTGCCAGTGGCAATTAGCTGAATAAACAACAATAGAGAAGGAACATCGCAGTATCAGAACTTTACATTTGTGCCCTTAAAACAGTTTTATAAAAACGGTTTAATTGTTGATTGCCTCAGCCAAATAAATTTTCTCTGTTCAGTTAAACTACTTGCTTTTCCCCTCTGTAGGCACCATCTCCCATATAATGTCAAAACATTCCCCAGTAAGGTTTATCCACGTAAAGAAATCTGTGGCATACAGAGACAGTGTAAAACCTAACCCAGTTCGGTTTCATTAAGCAGTTTAGTCATGCAGACAGCTTGTGACCACAGGGTTAAGGTTACCACCTTGCAAACTAGACAAGTGTACCAATTTCAACAGCTAAGAGTGTGCCAGGATAATTCTCGGTAAAACGCACAGAAGCATTTAAGGAAAAACTCTACTGCATGCCTCACCCTGCTTATCTTTTTTCCAGCACTCTATCAAGGTAGCATTTTACTTTGATTTTGCTCTTAGATTTGCCTCCAATGCCAAATAAAACTAAACAGGGCTGGCAAAGGAAGAGTATTTTATCTGTTCTGAAGACACGAAGCCTGGGGAAGCAATACCTGCAGGCAACCAAAATGGAAACAGACCGGCTGGGTGCCTCACGACGAAGGCTCATGCATTTGAGAATGCCAGCAGCCAAGCTGGGAGGACAACCAGGACCAGCAAGGCCAGTGGCAGTACTGGGGTAAGGGCTCGGGAGGGACCCCCTCCTGCCAGAGCACATCTTCTCTACCCTCTACCACCGCCACTCTCTCTGCAGCAGCGGCTCTGAACACCCAGGCAATCCCAAAATACCACAGCACACTACCACAGAACACACAAGCCTGAGCACTCCAGAGCCTTTGAATCTGGCTGCCCGTTCCAGAGGTAGACGGATAAAATTAAATTTGCAAGGGACAGACAAAAGTTACAACTAGGCAGAACGCAGTGGTGCAGAGGCAGCATTTTCCTTTGATCCTAAGTTGGCATCATTTCAGCCACTATTCATACCCCTAAGGCAGGCAAACATTTTTGTATTCCTCTCTTTACAACCACTACTTACAGTAATCCAGATGCAAGACAACTTCTAGTGCCCAGACTGGATGTTTGATTTTGGTAGATGAATTTTGTCTTCCTTTGTATTTTGAAATATTTTACCTGGGGCTACAGTTCTACACAGTTTATGTATGTTGTTTTGCTTACCTAATTTGGATTTCTTTGCGCTCGGTTCAGGTGTTGTTATTCATTTTACATCACACGTAAACAGTCATATTAAAAAACACAGATTTGAGGCAAATCCTCTGCTATGAAACAGGCATGTCAGAGGAAGGCATGAGAAATCTTCCTGTAGGCAACTGTGAAATATGGATGTAGGGATACACGTGAATTGTATCCTTATCCATGGCCGGATGATGCTGGGATGGCCTGGCCTAGGACACCTGACTCGAAGTGTGACATTAAACTCACAGAATTTTAGTATTCGACCTTTCTTTAGTAGATTCCAGAGATGATAATGTCAAAGAAATCAGACAGCACTGTTCTGCTATTTCAAATAGTATTTACACCTGTCTTATGAAAATCTAGAAATTATGCAAGTGTATCTTTAGACAGAGCCCCATTCCACAGCACAGGCTACCTGTGGTGGTGCTACATGACTCCCCGGAACACACTGCACGCACGTTTCCAGGGGAGATGGGCTGTAAGGGACGAGAAGGGTTGGCCTGACTGATCGAGGCTATACCTGCACAACTGCTATCTTGGGGCACAGAGGTCTCCGAGCTGGGGCTTGGGTCACGGGCTCAGATCAGGGCAGAGAGGATGCAGAAAGGCCACCCCATCCCAGATCTCCGCGGTTTAAATTCATGTATTGCTAGGTTGAAGTTGGAGATAAAGGTCACCTCGTGGATGGCTGTGACTTTCAGTGACAAAACTGACTGAAGATGTGAGGTAGCTGGAGAGAAGAAAAAAAAAAAAAAATCGCAGGTCCTGAGCAAGTAACATCCCGATCCAACCTGCGACAAAGGTATTGCCACTGGAGCCAAACTGAAGTGTAACAAGTGTGGGATGGGATGGCCCCTTCCCTGAAGGGCTGGAAGAATGCCTCCCAAAACCAGCATCCTGGCCTCCAACTTACCAATACACCTTTCCAATCTCCTAGGTTTAGGCCGGGATGCTCATTACTTCCCTCCCTTTCGGCAGCACCTGTGCCAGTAAGCTCAATCCCAGCTGCGAAGCGTTAGAGCAGTCTCACCCAGGCTGCTGGCCAGTGCCAGCCCCTGGGCACGCAGCGGGGACCCGGGCAGCCCTGGCACCCCTCTGAGCAGCACAGCAGCAGCCATGCCACAGAGGAGCACAGCCCCCCGAAACCATCCCCCCCCCCCAGCCTGCGCCCTGCTCCACACGGCCTTGGTATCCCCCTGTTAAAAGCGCTCTCGAGGTGGTAAAGAAACTCTTTGTTTTCCTAGAGCTGTACTTCAAAACCTCAGCAGGGAGAGATCTGGACCTTGCCCACTGCTGCCTACCAACAGCAACTGGGAGGAAGAGGAAGAGTCAAAGCTCTCACTGCTGAGACAGCACAGAGGACGGGAGATACAGAGCAACACTAGAAAATGCAGAGACCATCTGAAAACATCCTCGTGTTAGAGTCCAGGATCCCACTTGCCTCCCCCCAGCACAGTTTGATACAGCTACAACCTCAGTGCTGGCAGCAAGGGGGGCAAATCGGGGCGTGTTTCAGCCACCTCCCCACCATCCCTGGCAGGGTGGCGGCGGTTCTTCGCAGCCCTACAGCCAGAGGTGCCAGGGGTCACGCCGGGCTACCTGCCAGGTGCCAAGGACAGGCAAGTGAACTCACTGCCACAACTTTTGCAAGCCTCTAAATTCAGTCCCTTCACGTTTTATAATCCTTCATGCCAACGAGAGCAGTCTCGCTTTGTCCTGGTAGTTTGTTACCGCTTCTGCAAACACTGGCCTCTAAATAAACCACTTGCAGATATTAATGCATTTCAAACAGAGCTCATTAATGTCTTCTGTACACGGCAGGCTTTTATCTAACCCAACTGAAATAGGTTCTCCCCAAAGACATGTTTGAAAGCAAAGGTGGGCACAGTCTGGATAAGCTCACATACCAGGCAGGAGGGGCTGTCCTGTCATCCCCATGGGAGCCATCCCCAGATTATTCATCGCCGTGGCCCAGGCAGTTGGGTCTGACATTGGCAAGCCCATCGGAATAGAGTCAAGGCTTAGATTTCTGCCACCATCTGCTGAGAGGAGAAAAAGTGATTAAGAGCTAGAGCGTATCTGAACTCTTCTGCAGAGCATACATTGTCCAGCGAGGCTCTGCAGTATCAGCATCCAAAATCAGGTTTGAACCCAATAAGTAGCAAAAAGCCAAATGGAAAAAAAAACAAAACAAAACAACAAAACAAAACAAAAAAACAAAACAAAACAACAAAAAACCCCTTTCAAGCAGATGACATTTTACAGAAGCAAAGGCTATGAAAACACTGCATTCAAAGAGCATCTAAATCATGGTTTATCCACTATAATCAACAGCTCTAAGGAGCCTTAAAGGAACACTGATTAAAGGGAAGGAGCATGCTTTGATTCCTCCCAAGAGATTTCTGATCAAAGGACAAACATTCAGCAAGTATAAACTGTCATAATTGCAACTGAATTTAACAGAGATGGCCAGGCTGTTCTGGCAGAGTACTTCCACTGCCATTTGAAGACACTTCTCTTCCATGCTGAAAGGGAAAATGAAGCAAAGAACAATGTTATGCTGCTGACAGTAGCAGTACCAGTGTTACTTACTCAAGGTCTAGCAGTTACCTGGCAATCCAGGTGGAACCACTAACATTATACAAACATGTGGCTTAATTAAGCATTCAAATCTTCTCCAGTGTTTTAGCTGGGACAACCATGCCTATAGCTGGTTACTTCCACGTACCACCAAGACCTATGCTTGTTCTTTTTGAATGCTTAGCACAGAGTTACCTCTGCACAGCAAAAAAAAAAAAAAAAAACAAAAAAAAACCAAGCCAAACCAAACCAAAAACGAACAAAAACCCAAACAAAACAAAACAAAAAAACCACAGTAACATCAAACCAATAAAAAAACCCAATCCTCATACAAATTTTTTTTCTTGTGGAAAAACACAGAAGGACTCATCCAGTTCAAAAAAGTGAACAGCCAGTGCCCAGGGCATTTTTCTGCTGAGGAGCAAAGACAGAGCTTGAGATAGCTGCCCAAATGAGAGCAGGGACACCAAACCTGGCCACCTCCCATCACAGCTGTCTCACATGCCATCTTCCTGATGAAGCTGTCAAAATGAATGCTTGTTTGAAAAAATCTGGCTTCAACAACAGGATGTTGGAGAATATCAACAGCATTACTGACAGAAGCTATATGAAAAAGTCCCCAGCTCTAACCTGAAACTCAGCAGAGTTGGTATTTCCCCCTCTTGTATAACCCAGGGCACGACCCGGGCACAGACTCCCAAAGCTCTCCTGAAGCTCTCCAGACACACCAGCAGCAGGAAATTTACTGGCCATTTATCTCACCCTGGGCTGTAATGATTCAGAATTTCCATTTCCCACCCTGTTTCACCACTCCCCTCTTCTTGGCTTCAGAGAGGGGACAAGAGATCAGCTCACCTTCCTGAGATGCCATCTCTACGCCCCTGCTGAGAAGTCTCCCTCCGCACTGACCCATCTTCTGCCAACCACCCAACCCGTGTCTCACTTGGACCATCTCCAAAATCCTTCTGACACTCAAATACAGCGCTGCCAAGGTCTAACACCTCACCTTGGCCTCATCTCCCCTCCTGTCACTGCCAGTCCCACCAGCCTTGGTAGTCAAACAAATCACCCGTTTCACTTTTTACATTAGCCAAACTCTATGCACTAGCCAAATGCCTACGCCGGAGTTAACCTACCTGTGTACAAAATACCACCTGCACACCTCTTTTTTCCTTATCTGACAGATCTCATTGATTGAGGGAAAACAGAACATCCTTTGAAATAGCTCAGACCTTATGCTCGCTAGACAGCAGACTTAGTCAAGTCAATTATGAATTAAAGCAGCATGAATAGAAGAAAAGCATATCACACCCCAAAAAAAGGAAGTCAGCTCTCTAACTGTCAATGATGAAATCTAATCTCAAGCATGAGTTTTAGAATAAGACTGACTCTTCTCAGTTCACAGCAATGCGTTGCAATATATTTAGATAGATGGCAACATGACAGGCAGGATCTACAGCACCTCACAGCCTGTGAGCAAAGGAAATACGTGTTTAATTACAGCATTTGTTCACCAGTTAGAGGCAGTAACACTATTATGAACTCAACAGAACACACTCACTTGCATTTTATTACGACAACATGCTCACCCACTTTTTAAGTGGAAAAAACACATACAAGAACATCCATTTTGCCTCAGCATAAGAACGCTGACAAATTTATTCATTTCAGACTTGTATAAATCTCTGCTCCTCAGCATTATGTACTTACTTTAAGGGGGCTTATAAAAAAGATGGGGATAGACTTTTTAGTACGATCTGTTGCGACAGGACAAGGGGTAATGGTTTTAAACTAAAAGAGGGGAGATTCAGACTAGGTGTAAAGAAGACATTTTTTACAATGTGGTTGGTGAAACACTAGAACAGGTTGCCTGGAGCTGGTAGATGCCCCATCCCTGGAAACATTCAAGCTCAGGTTGGACGGGGCTCTGAGCACCCTGATCATTGCAGAGGGGTTGGACTTTAGACCTCTAGAGGTCCCTTCCAACCCAAACTATTCCTTGACCTCCCCCAGTCGTGTTTCAAACAATCAGCTCTTGCAACCTGTCGCCCAGCTCTCCTGAAAAAGTAGTCAATGATGAGCTGTCCTAGTTTTATAACTCATTTGTTTCAGGAGATCTGGGCCAAGCCTGAACTTTAGTTATCCCCATTCCTCTGTTAATGTGAGAGTGCACAGGCTACCAGGTCAGGCACAAAGAGAAACAGAGGATACCGAAGAAGAGGAATGGGATTACCGAGTAGGCAGCTGCTAGTTTAAAGGAAAGAAATTAAAATCAAAGATTAAAAAAGGAAGCACCAACACAAAAACCAAAAAACCATGCAGCGAGATTATGGATGATCCCACTGCCCGAGGGTGAAAAGCTGAGAGCTCCCTTGCTGTCCGGTGAGTGTCTGTGCAGAAGAGACTGCGCCACGGTGACACACAAAACAGTGCTTTGCCCACCTACCCCAAGCGTACCCGTTCAGTCCAGAACCCTATGTGCTATTCAACAAGTAAGATCACCGCGTGTTGTTTGAGTTGTCCAAGGTCCTGGTCTCACATCTCTGCGTCCAGATGCCCAAATGAAAACAACATTTTGATTTCGCGATCACAATGTGGGCAGCTGAAGGTTGTGCCAGAACGACCCACAGCCCTCTGCAAGGCTGCCCCAACCGCAGAAACGATCATGGTTTTAATATTGAGATATTGCCCAGTTAGAAAAAAGGTATAAATCTACCGGGACTGGCAAAGAGATTCTACAGCGCTTAAAAAAATATGAATATAAAAGTTTCTTTTGCTTTGCACAGAAACAGCAACAAGCATGCACCCAAAGCCATGCAAGCACAGAACCACAAACACTGGTCTGACTGCAAGCAGAACCAGACCACAACCTCATTGCCATCCGGCCACCTTCTGCATTAACACCTTAGTGTAGAGCTGGTTTCGGTCTACACTTATGTGGATGCCTCCTCTGGCACCAGTCACCAAGCTGCCCCTCGGCTCACCTGGAGGAATGTTTGCTCTCTTCCTCTTCTTGCCCGGGTCGCTTCCATTCTCGGCTGGACTTTCCGACACCTGCAGACCAGCAGCGCTGCCGAACTGCAGAGGTTTGCTGTTGCTGGCAGGATCAAAGGACAGATGGTTTAAGCCTAAAAGAGAAAAATACACTCAGAGACTTTCTGTCAACTGGTTTGCGATGCTTCGGGATCACGGTAACGAGAGAAGTGCCCAGTCCCAGGTACAAGCAGCCCTTCAGGCTCCTGGGATAATCCTGTCTCCTGTTTACTGCCCCCAGCTACGCTCGATCTTCATGTGACACTGCTACCACTTCAACGTAATATTCACAAACATGAATCCCAACACCCACACAAATCAAACTGCCTGATACTGTAAACCAGGGGTGCATCTCCCCTGTGTTGTGCACTATTTCATGTTTGGAAACTCAGAGGCCAGAGTTTTTTTCCATTTCTTCCAATCCAGGAATACATTTTTAATAGTTACTTAAGCTTCACCCAATTTGTCACCAGCTGTGAATACAACTGGCATTATTTACTAGCAAAAAAACAAAGCACATCTTAGATGATCTTCAAAAGCATAAGGTGCTATTGCAATTTTTATTCAAGGAGTCTGGCAAGCAGTTGTCACCCTTTGTAGCTGAGGGAGGCTGCTCTGCAACGGTCATCCCGGAAGAGGGGAGCCCACAGACCAAAGCCAACTGGGTCAAATTCCTCCTCAGTCAAGCAATGGATCCACTATCAGAGTCCAGACAAACTTCTTCAGCCTCAGGGCCCGAGGTCCCTCTCCCCTGCCCTGCAGCACAGGAACAGGTTTTCCTTTGGCAGGCATCGACTCGCCTCTGGTCCCCACTGCAGGAGCCCTCAGCCCCAGCATCGCCCCTCGCCCCCTGCGCGGGCTGACCACTGGCAGTGCCACTTTGACCCTCAAAGACAGAGCGCCCTGAGTCCTGCTGCTCAAAGACTGTTACTGATGCAGCAGATCTACCAGTGAGTTAGGGTTACTCGGGAATAAATTCAGATTGACCCATATAAATTAAGTAAATCTAAGGTAAAAAGATGTAAAACCAGAACAGGTAAGATGGTATGTACCACCGAGACCCGGCAGCGCACTGCACGTTGGGTTTAGACACGGGTGTCCATCTTTTTGACGGCCATCACCCACCTTAAGAGCTGAGATACCCGACGAGCTTGGAGAACACCAACAGAACTCTTTCTCGTGGAGTGTAGTGACAGGATGAGGGGTAACAGTTTTAAACTAAAAGCAGGTAAATTTAGATGAGCTCTAAGGCAGAAATTCCTCCCTGTGCGGGGGGGGAGGCGCTGGCCCAGGGTGCCCAGAGCAGCTGTGGCTGCCCCCTCCCTGGAAGGGTTCAAGGCCAGGTTGGACGGGGCTGGGAGCCCCCTGGGCTGGGGGAAGGGGGCCCTGCCCGGGGCAGGGGGTGCCACTGGGGGGGCTTTCGGGTCCCTTCCAACCCAAACCAGTCTGTGATTCTTTGATAGCTCACATTTTCCAGGAAGGATCCTGACAGAGACACCAAGGCCCATATGGACCAACAAAGACCAGAATTAGGTTTCAAAAATAGCGCAACTTTTTAAATGTTCACTACCTACAAAGTATACTCTGAAACATCAAGTAACCAACAGTCTATTACTCAAAAATTACTTAGCTGATCACTCGGATGATGGTTTTTTACGTTTCCTGGAAGAATGTGCCAGCAGAATGTGGTCCCAACCACTCCTGGCTCTCTAAAACGGTCTGTTTCTTAAAACTACAGGTAACAAAAAAAAAAATACTTTGTAAACAATTCCAAATTACTGGAGGCTTCAATCATAGAGCTTCAAGTATACAATTAACCACAGCAAGTTTTAGAGAGGTGTACTGCCCTTAACTGAGCACCAAGTTCATTATTCCACTCTGTCATTTTAAGCACTTGCAGGGATGCAAGACTGAAGGGACATTAAAAAATCCAATTAGATTTATCTTTGTCTCAGCAAACTCACCAAACAGTCAATGAAAAAAAAAAAAAAAAAAAAAAAACACCCCAAACCCAAACAAATCCTTTTTGTGGACCCATATAAAGTGATAAAAATAGCTACATTTCTGCTCAGGCTTGCCTATGGTTCCTTGGTGGGGAGGGGGTGGGAAAATCAGCAGAACTACAGGAGTACCGGAGATGACAATTATGCCGTCTCGATGCACTGATGGGCCGAGGCATTTGCACCAAACCTTTCTCTAGGCACACCGCAGCGCCGCAATTCCTGCTCCAGAGGATTCTGCTTCCAAGAGCTTGTTAATAAACATGGTTACTGTGTACGGCTGTAAATAGATGAGAGTGGATAGAGAGAGCCTGAAGGGGCTCTCCTCAGCTACTGAAAGGTGAGAACGCAAGAAGCAGCCAAAAAAAATAAGTACTATTCAGCTGGCAACAACAATAGTCACGCCCGACTACGTAAGATGCCTACGGTGCTGTTTCTTAAATACCCCAAAGTCAAAATATCACTGAGGTCACAAGGACTCAGGAAAACAAATCTCAAATGTAGCAGGTTAAAAATAGAGGGAGGCTGTGTGCAGCAAAGAAAGAGGGAGAAAAGAAAAGGAGCAATTGTAAGATTTACCTCTGTTATCACCCAGCTGATGGAAAAGGCAACATGAAACTCAGAAGTGTGTTTTCTCACGCTTGGGCGTAGGGAAGGACGTGGGCAAGCAGCGATCCAGCCAGACACTCGTGCCACCAGGCCCAAAAGGGATAGACACCCTGCTCTGGCTGAAGACCACACGCCATACAGACACTCAGCATTAACCTACACCTGCACGTTAACATACACCACTCAGGCAATTACCTTCTAACCCACCGAAGAGCAAAGGCAGCCTCTTACTCCAACTATTTCCATCATTAGTTTGAGCTGGGATGCTTGATTGTGCTCGGCAGGATGGGAGGAGCACTCAAATGCTGCATCTGCTCTGATGACTGTGCTGGGGAGGGAGGCAGCCACCTCCAGCAGATGTGAGCTAAGGAGGAGTGGCATACTACATGTGTTCTTTGAAAAAAAAAAAAATGTTATTAATGTATTTTGGGGAAAAAAAAATAAAAACAAACAAACAAACAAACAGACAAACAAAAAAAAAACACAAACAAACCAGATTCCTGAGCTACAGGAGAAACACTGGGGTGCACAGGAAGCAAAGGAAGTTCTCTCAGCCCCACAGCCAGCACCCCGCTAGCCAGGCTGGGAGTCAAGCATAAAAAAGTGCCTGACCCAAGCGACGAGCTCCCACCAGCACAGAGGGGAGGCAGCCCTGCTCCAAGCCACCCAGCGCACCCCGAGCACCCGCGCCGGCCCCGGGCACCTCCTGTGATCCCACACAGCTCACACCCCGGACAGAAACCAGTGCAGCTCCTGGGAAGTGGATAATGTTCTGCTAGGACCCACAGATGCTCCTAATCTTCAGCATCAGGTCCCCCGACCCTGAGCACCCACCGCCTCCCCATCACAAAGTGCAAACCAGCAGGCAACTTGCTGCCGACCAGCTGTGAGCCTGCAAGGGCTCTCCTGCTGTCAGCACGCAGATTAACAAGAGGAGACCTATAAGAGGAGGAGGAGGAGAAGAGACCACGGTGACAGAGAACTGAATTGAGTTATTTATAAGTACTTGTTTCTCTTCTTGACTTCAGATTAAAAATCTGTATGACTGCTTTGCTATACACGGGTCCGAATGAAGAGCTGGCTTACTTCACTGCAGCCTTTTCTGCTGTGACTCTTGCTTGGAAAATGTCAACTTTATGGATGGGCACACAGCGATTTCTAACTGACAACATCCAGACCTCAGGTACTGGCATTAAACACTGCCCTACCCTAACCTAAAAAGAAATTATGTTCCCAGAATTCACCAAGCCCTGTGAAAAGCCCAGGATGGCAGCTCAGTAATTAAAAGCATTTTCTAAGGAATTCTCCTCCTGGTTACCTCCTGCACCAAAAGATCAGCCCGTTCATGACAACTTGTTTAAACAGCTGGCAAGGAGCGAAGGGGAAGGGGACGCTGGTGCAATAGCAACTAAAATACTCTTGAACAGGCACAGGAACATGACTGCTGACTTGGTGATCGGACAAACGCTGTCCCAGAGCTCCCAGTCATTCTCCAGTTAGGGTGGTTAGCAGCACCAGGTTAAGCCTGCAGCAGTTTCTTCCAGGCACGGTATGTCATTAAGAAGAGACAGAGTAAGGAAACCTCAAATCAGCCCCTCAACCTCTTCCTTCCCAGCTGATCCTCACGTTAAGTTTCATTACTGCTCTAGAACCTGTCAAATCTGCTCTGCAGCACCAGGGTGAGTTTGCAGTGCTGGCACCAACTTCTTTGGCACCCCAAATGCACACAGGAGCTGCTGTGCGTGCCCAAGGACCAGCAGCAGAGCTTGGAAAGCACCCTCCAGAATGAGTACTGCAAAGTTTGGAACGGGACCAGTTGCCTAAAAGATGAAGTTGTTCACGTGCAAGAGGCTGAGGTGGATATGAGTGGCAACCTGTCACGGAACATGGAGACTTTTGTTCACCTCGTGTTACTTGCCAACGTCCTGGGCTGAGCAGCAGGCCAGGAATCGCTACGTGCCCATCCATAAAGTTGACTTTTTCCAAGCAAGAGTCACAGCAGAAAAGGCTGCAGTGAAGTAAGCCAGCTCTTCATTCGGACCTGTGTATATCAAAGCAGTCATACAAATTTTTAATCTGAGGCCACTTAAGCCAGGAAGAGAAGACCCCTTGCAGAGTTAAAAACTGTTTGGTTACGTGGTAAAAGCTCATCTGCACACACACAGAGGAGCAGAAAGAGGCAGTGAGGGGTGGGGGAACCTGAATAATACCTGTCTGAACCCAGGCCCATTGCAGGAGAGCCATCAGGCCATTAAAGCCCATACCCAAAGCCCAGAGGAGCACGATGGCAGGTGGGAAGCCAAATTACAGATGCGCAGGAAGGACACTGGCAGGGCCCCAAACAGGGCTGTCCCAGGAGAGCCTCAGCCCCAGCACCCAGGCGGGAAACCCATCCAGGAGTTCAAGCCAAAGCCCCTTTCAGACTTGTACACCAGATGGCTGTGCCATCCTTCAGAGGGACCTCGGGGGGGGGGGTCCCCCCACCGCCGAGGCAGCATTCTCCATACAATACAGAGGGAACCTTGATAACCACCTTTTGAACAGCTGGACATAAAGTCTCATCTTCCAACACAACTTTAAAAGTTGATACCATTTTAAACACACTCCACCGTGCTGCTCAAACACAAGCCTTAGACCTTATGAGATGAGAATGCCGTCATTAGGAGAGGGGTCCCTCCTCCAGCTCGGACATACAGGCATACTGACGCTAAACTGTGCCAATGCTGGTGCTCTACTCCATAAAAATAAACAACGCTATCCAAAAATAGGTAGCAGTCTGTAATGCGTCTCATGTCCCGCTGAATTACTGGGACCTGTGTTTGTGACACTTCAGATCTCCCACCACAACATCTCACATAGCCTCAACTTGCAACTTCAGCGGCTTTTCCCCACGTAGAAGAGGATACCAAGGTCTCGGAGAAGAGGGCTGTTCTCAGTCACACAGCTCTGAGGGCCTTGACAAAACATGTGTCCTCTGTCATACACTAAATTACACCATGCCGTTCCCTCGCTGTGCCCCAGGGTTTCACTGTGATTCCTCCTCCCTTCTCCTCAGAGAAGCTGGGGAAAGTCTTAAGTTTGGGGGTTTTGTTGTTGTTTTTAAACAAAGTAAACTGAGGAAATTATTTTCCTATTAGATTTTTTGGGGTCACACTGACCAGGGAGGAGCTGTGGTGTCTGGACACAGAGTGTGTTCTGTCAGGGTCATGCTCACCTGAACACAGTAGGAAGTCACATAAGACGAATGCTACAAGTCGGGTCAATGCTTTTAAGTTTTCTAATTTTGGATGAAAATAAAGACCTGGAGTTCTGCAGTTACATGGTTGCCTGCTCTTCTAGATGACATTTTGCAGGCCTACAGATCTCCAGGATCATCTAAACACCGACACCTTAAGCCAGCCACTGAAAATTTCTGCAAGCCACAACATGCTGTAGCACACCTACGTACTTTCCTTGCAGAGAACACTGCTGTCCCACATATCTCTGAAGAACAGTAAGAAATGGTTTGCTAGCATATGGACCAAGGCTTCCACTGCAAGCTTATGAAGCTGACTTTTAATTTGCTACTTAGTAGGCAGCAAATATAAAGAATGCTAAACAGGCATAATACGATCACAGTGCGCCATGCCAGGAACATATCATGCTGCTGCAGTCCACGCAAGCCATGGGCAAGAGTCCTGCTGAAAGCCCCCGTGAGTTGGAATTACAATAATCAAGTTATGCCATCAAAAGGGGGATGCGCTCATAATGGCTGTGGCATTGCCAGGAGAAATAAAACAGCAACCTGAACACGTTGTACAGCTGGAGCTTTTGGAGCGGCACGCAGACATCAGAAAGAGACAGCTATTACAAGAATACTGTAAAAGCAAAAGCAAGATTTTCATCCAACAGTCACAGGACCATTAGACCAACAAGCGACGATGTTGCAGCAGAGGATGGGGTGACTCTAAGCTGCCCTTACAGGGGGGAGAACAGTTTCCCACCCAGCTGACAGCAATCTGCACAGCCCATTTAGAGCACAATTCCGCTCACCGAGGAGCATTTCGAACCAACCCGCGTTTGGTCACAGGAGCCACGCCACTGCCAGCGGTGACAACTCGTCATTCACTG